ACAACAAGAGGGGGCATCCCTGCCTTGTCCCTTTGGTTAGCTGGAACAGTTCCTATAGGAACCCGGAGTTAAGTACTTGTGCTTTTGACGAGTTATACAATGCCTCCACTGCTGACAAGATCCGCCAATGTAGTCGGTTGAAGGCTTTCTCTGCATCGAGGGAGACCAGTAAGCCTTCCTGGGGTCGGTTTCGGAGACTGTGCATGATGAGTACTTTCCTGGTGTTGTCCGATCCCTGTCTTCCCATAACAAAACCGACCAGGTCGTTGTTGATAATGTGGGGCAAGATACATCCCAATCGGACTGCGTATACTTTTGGAAAAAGTTTTGCATCAGTGTTTAGTAGGGATATGGGTCTAAAATTTTGTGGTAGCGTCAGTGGTTTCCCAGGTTTCGGCAATGTGACTATATGGGCCCCTATCATTTCTGAGGGAATAGTGTTGCATATGAGCGCGCTGGAGTATGCGGTGCTAATATGTTGCCTAGAATTTTGCAGTATGAGTGGTCTAGGCCATCGGGGCCAGGGGATTTGCCCATCGGCAGTGTTTTGATTATACTGAGAATTTCTTTTTCGTCTGTGGGTTTCGTTAATTATGCTTTTTGCTGGGATGTTAGCTTGGGCAGGTGCGTTTTTTCTAGGTAGCCAACTATGCAGAGTTCTGTGGGTTGGGGTGTGTTCGGGTCACAGTTCAAGTTGTAAAGTTTAGCGTAATAGTGGGCAAACTCGTCACTTATGGCTTTCGGTGTTGTGAGCTTGTTTCCTGCATAGGAGGTGATATGGGAAATGTTTTGGGAAGCCTGTCTATTTCGGAGTCTCTGTGCTAACAGTTTGCTAGCTTTGTTGCCTTGTGAGTACTGGTTTATTTTTAATTTTTATCATATAGTAGCCTATGCGTTCTAATGCTAGCTGGTGGAGGCCTCTAGTGAGTTGTGTGATGGGACTCCTCACAGAGTCTGTGGGGGCAAGTTGGTTCTGGACTGTGAGCTCGTAGAGCTCCTTTTGCATCACGGTCGTCTTCTGTTGGGCCTGTTTGCGTAGGAAGGAGGCTCTCCTGATCAGCAGCCCTCTCACCACTGGCTTGTGTGCCATCCAGACAGTGCTAGGTGACAAGTCCTGTGTTTTGTTTTCTGCAAAGTAATGTTTTAACTGTGTAATAAGTTCTGACATGAAGTTTGGGTCGAGCAGTAGAGAATCATTGATTCTCCAAGGACTGCAATGTTTGAAATCAAATAAGTCATTCAACTCCAGTAGAACTGGTGCATGGACTGACCAGGTGATTTGCCCTATGTTGCAGGTTAGGAGTTGGTTAAGATGTGATCCTAGTAGGAGAAACCCATCTATCCTTGAGTAGGAGTTATGTACTGAGAAATGTGTATATGCCCTCTCAGATGGGTGTGTGATTCTCCATCTGTCGTAGAAATGATGGGCGTGAAGCAGGGGCTGGATTGCCTTACACTGTCGCTTAAGAGGTCTGAATCTAGTGCTAGACTGTGATAGGGTTGTGTCTTCGGTCGGGTCCAAGATGTGGTTAAAGTAGCCACAGAGAACTGTGATATCTTGTTAGATAGGTGTTAAGGTGTGGAGTAATTTGTGGAAAAAATTCTATTGGTTGCATACATTTGCAAGTAAAAGTATGTGAATCTTTTGGAATGATATGGATTTTTAAACAAATTGGTCATAAAATGTGATCTGATCATCTAAGTCACAACAATAGACAATCACAGTGTGCTTAAACTAATAACACACGAATGAAATGTTGCCATGTTTTTATTGAACACACCATGTAAACAAACATTCACAGTGCAGGTGGAAAACGTATGTGAACCCCTAGACTAATGACATCTTCAAGAGCTAATTGGAGTCCAATCAATGAGATGAGATTGGAGGTGTTGGTTACAGCTGCCCTGCCCTATAAAAAACACACACCAGTTCTGGGTTTGCTTTTCACAAGAAGCATCGCCTGATGTGAATGATGCCTCGCACAAAAGAGCTCTCAGAAGACCTACGACTAAGAATTGTTGATTTGCATAAAGCTGGAAAGGGTTCTAAAAGTATCTCCAAAAGCCTTGCTGTTCATCAGTCAATGGTAAGACAAATTGACTATAAATGGAGAAAGTTCAGCACTGCTGCTACTCTCCCTAGGAGTGGCCGTCCTGTAAAGAGGACTGCAAGAGCACAGCACAGACTGCTCAATGAGGTGAAGAAGAATCCTAGATTGTCAGCAAAGACTTACAAAAGTCACTGGCAAATGCTTTACAATACGTAAACGGATTTCATGGGCGGATACCACAGAGGAAGCCACTGCTGTCCAAACAAAACATTGCTGCACGTTTACAGTTTGCACAAGAGCACCTGGATGTTCCACAGCAGTACTGGCAAAATATTCTGTGGACAGATGAAACCAAAGTTGAGTTGTTTGGAAGAAACACACAACACTATGTGTGGCGATAAAAAGGCACAGCACTCCAACATCAAAACCTCATTGCAACTGTGAAGTATGGTGGTGGGGGCATCATGGTTTGGGGTTGCTTTGCTGTGTCAGGGTCTGGACGGATTGCTATCATCAAAGGAAAAATGAATTCCCAAGTTTATCAAGACATTTTGCAGGAGAACTTAAGGCCATCTGTCTAACAGCTGAAGCTCAACAGAAGATGGGTGTTGCAACAGGACAATGATCCAAAGCACAGAAGTAAATAAACAACAGAATGGCTTAAACAGAAGAAAATACGCCTTCTGAAGTGGCCCAGTCAGAGTCCTGACCTCAACCCGATTGAGATGCTGTGGCATGACCTCAAGAAAGCGATTCACACCAGACATCCCAAGAATATTGCTGAACTGAAACAGTTCTGTAAAGAGGAATGGTCAAGAATTACTCCTGACCGTTGTGCACGTCTGATCTGCAACCACAGGAAACGTTTGGTTGAAGTTATTGCTGCCAAAGGAGGTTCAACCAGTTATTAAATCCAAGGGTTCACATAATTTTTGCACCTGCACTGTGAATGTTAACATGGTGTGTTCAATAAAAACATGGCAACATTTCATTCTTTGTGTGTTATTAGTTTAAGCAGACTGTGATTGTCTATTTTTGTGACTTAGATGATGATCAGATGACATTTTATGACCAATTTGTGCAGAAATCCATATCATGCCAAAGGGTTCACATACTTTTTCTTGCAACTGTATGTGTTTGTGATTGTATAGATCATCTCGTTTATCATCCCTACAATTATAACATATCTTCCCAGGGGGTCTATGTTCAGTCATTCAGTCCCCTTACATTATATGAGCATATTCTCATGTAGGGTCTCTCATAAAAGGTTGTTTGGAATATTGTGAGTGCATTTGAAAGATGGGGTTTCTCGCTTCTCCCAGCATGAGCAAGCGGAGGTTCCCAGATGTCAGTGTCAGCGTGTCGTGGATAGTAAAAGTGAAAGTGTGTGAGAATGCGTTTAATTGTGGATTCATATTCCTTGGTGTGTAGGTGTGTTAGACCACCCACTCGGCCCATAACAGCATCCCGGGGTGCAGGGCACCAGTGGACATATTAACAAGCAAATATAACCAAACATAAAACAAAGTATATACACATGAATTTCTGTTGCCCTGTGTACGGCTTAGCACTTCATCCAAGTGCCTTGGGGGTTGAAGCGTTAGCTTTTCATCCTGGAGAGGCTACTCTCCGCCAGGGCATGTTTGACCTCTGACCCTCCTATATTTCCTCTGTTCCCGGGTCATATTGGTGAATATATATCAGCCCCGTTTTTCGATTTTTGTCAAGTTTCCATATTTTACGTTTCTTTCTCTCAGGTTTTAGTATATATTTTACTTTTTGTATATTTATTTATTTTGTCGTCCCTTTGTCGGTCCCTTTGTCGGTCTAACCCAAGGTTCCCTCTCACTAGTGCTACAAGTCTTTGGAGCCCCAAAAGTGGGTTAGTCGATGGGAATTTACTCAGTTTTGACTCAATTATCTCTCAGACAATGGGTCGCCTGGGAGGGGTTTGCGTATACTTTGTATGGAGACCCCATGCTGGGGGTCTGTGCATGAAAGGTTGTTTGAGCTGAATAAACCAATTGCACTCCCAGAACTGTGTGTCATCCAGTTACTTAGGAGGGAAAGAGCTATTCACATTTCAGTGCCTTGTTCCAGAGTTCCTGTCTTCACGGATCAAGCGGAGGAAAAGTCCTTGTCAGGACTAATGCTCCGCTACAACATGGTCTCTAAGTGTGTATGGGTTAATGATAAAGAGTATGTTTTTGTATGAGTCACTGATCACATATCACATAAATGTGTGCGCATCGGTGTGCTTAACCTTTTAGGACCAAACTTCTGGAATAAAAGGGAATCATGACATGTCACACATATCATGTGTCCTTAAGGGGTTAAAGAACAAAAAAAAAAACCCACACCATATAGTTATGCCCGTATACTAATATACAACTGTATACTATATACAAAAAGGGTACTATAACACACACATGCCTTAATATACATAAACAATAAAAAACATACCATTTCCCTCAATGGGCAACCAGTTATAGACTGAGACTGTCAGGTTATGCTCTTGGCCTGTTATTGGCAACCAGCCCTAAACTGTCTTCAAGTTGCACAGGAAGGAAGCTGGGAGGAGTAGTCTTGGGTGTTAGAGCAGCGCTTATTTATGATGTACACATACATCCTGTATTTACATGCAGACCGTCCATACAAACACACACTCCTGCCTTTACACATACTAGCTCTGCATACACCGAGACATTAATATACATCTATATTCACACACTATGGAGCTTTACAAAAATTCATCCCTGCATTGACACAAACTCTGGAACTACACTCAAATGCACCACTGCATTAACATACTAGCTGTATATAAACATACATCCCCTAAAACAGTTTTGTTACAGATACCAGAGTCATGCTGGGCACCCACACTGCTTCCAGTCTTCAAGCTACAGAAGCTAGATGTCAGTTGTATAGAAGTTTCTTAATGGAGAGAGTATCAGCTGACAGTCAAAGCCAATTAATTCCCATCTTGCAGAGAACACACTTATGGCTTCTATAGGCTGAGAAGCGAATAGTATAGGCTCCGAGTGCGACCCAGGTAAGTTTCACATTGTCATGAATACTATATGACCCAACATGCAAAATTATGTAACATATACAAATGCAGAATAAGAACAATGTATACCGGGCTTTAGAATGGTCGGACTAAACGTAAAAGTGAATAGTCAAAATACAAGCCAAGGTCAGGGACACAGAAAAATACAGACTGAGTAAACTAGCCTGATAACAGACTAGTGGAAACCACGACAGGGCACTGATAAAAAGCTATCCAAGGTATAAATATGACCTCTGACCCCAAAACGCGCATGTGCATGGATGTGACGTTGCACAAATGTTGGCGCCATCTTGGTTGTGGACAGAGGTAACTATTCTATTTATAATGGAACCGCAGCTGCCGGCGTCCCTTATAACGTCACACCGTCTGGGAAACGTTATAGCAGAGGATCGGGCGGTAACCCACCGCAACTCTGGTAAGTAAAATTTCTTACTTTCTGCATGACCGCACTGTTCATGTGCAGTCACATCATTAGGAGAGTTGGGAGTCGTGACGCACCATGACAAAACAGAGTGACAGCTTATGGTGGGATGGCACCAGAGCATTGCTTGCACTATAACCATTCCAGCTCACTGTTCTAGTGCGTGTTCCCTTAAAGGTTTTCTCAAACCCTCTATTCCTATTGGCATTATTCTATTGGTCCCCCTTACAAAAATGCTCAACGAGCATTTGTAAAACATTTTTACTTACCTTAATCCAGCGCCGGGTGAAGGTAAGCCATGTCGAGGTCTAATCAAAGGATTTTCATAGAAAATCCTTTGATTAGAGGATTTGAGTGGCTCAGAGCGCATAATATGCATATAAAATAAAGGAACAAACATGTACACTTGACACTGTAGTTGTAAAAGCGTTGAAAAGGTGTTTTTACTCACCTTTTTTCCAGTGCTGCGCCAGTCTCGCCGTGGCTGTTCCCGCCTCCTCCGCTGAGGTAATCAAATTTGACTATCTTAGTCAATCCAATGCTTTCCCATAGAAAAGCAAATTGTGCATGTGCAGCATTGAATGAATGCATCTCTATGGTGAACATTCAGCATCAGCAGCACTGAGCCAGGAAGCACCTCTAGTGGCCATCTGAGTGCTTTTTCATCTGAAAAGGCAGTGTGCACATTAAAAATCCTAAAGAGACAGACTGTGTAGACCAGAACATCACCATTAAGCTGTAGTTGTTCTGGTGACTATAGTGTCCCTTTAAGAAATTCTCTTTTCTGAACAAAAAAAAGAAAAAAAAGAAAACGGTTTTCAATAAGTTTCTATTACATTTTTTAATCTGTGTTTTTCATTTCATGCAACAACATTAAAAAACAAACAAAACAAAACCCCAAATCCTCAGTATTAGCAAACTGTAGCATTTACGATGCTCACTCTGTTCCTTTAAAAAAATTCTCCACTTGTCTAAAACAACAAGGAAGCCATTAAAGTGAACATTTATATTTTAATTTGTGTTCCTACAAATATAATAAAATAATAATAATAATAATAATAATAATAATAATAATATACAGGCCAAATCCCTCGTGTTAATATACAACCTAACTATTTGCGGTGCACCTCCTGCCGGTGCACAGTGTCGATAACAGGGCGGGTCTCAGAAATCACAATGTTGAGCATGACTTAAGTGGTTCAATGGGAAACGTTACGCCTGTGGTTGTGTAAGAACGGGAGGAAAGATGTTACAAAACTAAAAGAACCCGGTCCACGGAGTTCTGAAAAGCAGGACAAAATGAGGTGAGTTCAGTTTTACTGGCTATTAAAGGTTTGTTTCCTCGGAGAACCATTATACTGCAAAGGAAATAGAACTTAAACCTGTTCACTCCCTCCACCCAATCTATCATGGCAGCAAAACAAACGTTGATAAACACCCTTGCAACCGGTGTTTTAATTTCGATTTTGGAACAAGAAACAATAACAAAAATAAAAAAAGTCAAAATCCTCGATCTGTAAAGACGGTCAGTACCCGTATAACTGTCTGTGCATTTGCCTATTTAAGTTTTTCTTGGTCACATGTTTAGTTACCCAGAATTCTGTTTAGAATATTGTAAGTTTTAGGAAGCTTGGTGTCTGATTGTTAAATATTCTATGCGTTAAGCACTTTCCTGACGCTGAACTAATCGGATTCCTGAATGTCTGTAATATTGAAACTGTAACATGTTGTTTGTGAACAAGATGGTGGTTTTATGAGAGTTACCAATTTTTTATATACCTGGTGGGTGAATAGATATATTTATTGAGTGGGAGAATAGTTGAAATGGTTTCAAATTTATTATAGAGGGGGTGTTTATATGGAGCACTTTCACTTATCTCTCTAATATCTGCTTTTATTTTGTAAACTAAAGTTAATGAAAATGTGATAACTGCACATGATTCGAATGGCAAATTAGATAAGAAAAATACAAAGTAACGTTTTATTACCTTTTTTGAATGGGTGTCGCTTTTGGGAAAAGGCATGAAAAAACCGATAGCTGACTCCCATAAAACCTGGCAAAGTCACGGCAGGCAAAGATTTATGGAAAAGTTTCATATTGATCTTGAACGCTGATCTTCAAATCCATCATTAGAACCCCACCAACAGGCTATTTACTATCATAACGACTTTGTTGTAGCACAGGTGTGGAAATCAGGTGCTTAAATGTTTCCATTAGGACCCTTGAACACTGATGTGTATATGCCCAAATCCTGTTCGAAGCTTCTCAGGAGATTTTTGAAACACCTTGCTCTAGAGCAGAAATGTCAAACTGAAGCTTTTATTGGACTACTGCCTGCTTTAATTTACAGCAAGTGATGGGAGCTGTAATTCAGCTAACAGCAGATGTAAGCAGGGGCAAATTTATACTCTAGAGAGGATTGTCATGTTGCAATAAAGAGAGCCTGCATCTTAATTACTTTTTTTTTTTTTTTTAAATGTATTTATTTATTGCATTGTTGTGTAGCGGTTTGATTTGTTAAGAAAACGTAAGCAAATATTTTAGTTGGCACATTATTTTTATTTTTTTGCACTCATGGTGAAATTTTTATTTATTTTTTTTTTTCCAAGGACTTCCTCAATGGCAGATATAAATAAATGCAAAACAAAGAGCCCCCTGCTGTAAATATATACAGAACATTATCACTTTATGGAGATAGGGAGTCTAAACCCTTTCAGATATCTATAAGTCTCCACCCTTTAGGAAGATGTGTGTGTGTGTGTGGCTAAATAAAAAAGGTAGAAGAGGGGGCGGCCTTAATGATTGATGTGAGAAGGACATACACACAACTGGTGACCTCACTACAAGAAGGAACCAAATGAAAGGAAGGATTTCTCAATAGATCTAGAAGCTTTATATCTATAAGTAAATAATGTAAGAATGTAAGAGCACACCTTCCCCCTTCACCTGGTTTCCTCTGTGACCTAGTTAACTGTATTTAATTTTTTTCTGGCTACTTTGATAAATTACTGGCCAAACTAATGAAGTAATCATTACAGAATACTATACAGCATTTATAATGTTTTTATATGCCCTCGCCTCCTATTTGTCTGTATACAGTTATTCATTGATGTATTGAAGTTAGGTGGCCCAATGTCATGCTCACTCACATTTCTGGCTGTGTTCCTGCTTCCAGTCTCGACTCCAGCGGTTCCAACTCCGGCCAATGTAGCTCAGCCCTCTTTTATGATGCGGCTCGCGCCGACGTCATGACGCTAATGACGTCGTAGCGTGCGTGCCGACGCTAATGACACCACATTCAAACTTGTTTGTTTTGGGGGCGCACCAATAGTGCTTTGCTTTTCAGTGTGTTCTTGTGTTTTGACCTCGGCTCTCTGACTATTCTCTTTTCTGTATTTTTGACCCGACTTTGGTATCTCGCTACTGTGTTTTCTGGTTCCCTTGACTCTAATTGTATTCCTCGATTCCGTGACTTCTGGCTCCCTTGACTTTGGCTTGTCCACAACCATTCTTTATCTAACGTTAAGTCCAGCCATTCTAAGGCCCGGTGTACGTTTTTCTATTACATCCTGCGTGTTGGGTCTCTAAGGAATCATGACACCCAAGTAATTATGTTCTGTACTACATTTTGTAATTGATGCGTTATTATTTCAACTATTCAAAAGCCTATCATTTTTACATCTCCCTTGAAACTTAGTGTGATGTTAAATGGTTATATTTTGTGGAGTTTGAAGGTCACAGATTTTGTGGTCTGTCTGGAGTATAGTTGGGTTCAGTGACTCATTTTTGAGCTGCTTGTACTTCAGGTGGGAAACATGCTGTGGGTTGGTGGCTTTTAGATTCTACTAAAATATTTAAAGCTTTTCTCTTTTGTTGGCGTCTTTGGCCAAGTCGTTTACTGCAGTTGTGGAAAATATGCCAATGCCAAAATCACCATATTAAAGTGATGGAGGGTAACAATTTGTAAAAAACTGAAGCATAACAAAATCCTGTCTCATTACTCACATTTTCCATTGGATTGGAGTATCCATTAACCCCTGAAGGATGAAACTTTATTTATTTTTCCCACTTAAGAACCAAAACAATTTAGTATTTTTGCTTTATGTGTGTTGAACAGCAATATCCATGTTTCTCATTTATTGCGGTTCAACACATATATAGACAGTTTTTCAAATAACAAATAGGGCTTTAATTTGATCTGACACACATACATAACCTCATTTATTATAAAAAGATAAAATACAAAATGGGAGGGAAACTCCGTTTTGGTAATAATAATGTGTACATATTTAGTATAGCTTAAGAAAAGTAATTCAAAAATTATTTGTTGTAATTTGCAGAGTTCATAATATTCCTAGGTTTTCGGTTTATTGTTACAGTAAAAAAAAAAATTCAACGTGGAGCGATTTTTTTAGAAGGTATCTTTCTTGAAAACTTAAGAAATTCTATAGTGTAAAGAATACAAAGTTGTATTTCCTATGTTACAAAAAAAAATCCCTTTTCTGTACTCGGCAAGTTCCAGTGCTGATATCCCTTAAAGTTGGACCGGCGCTTTGCCTCCTCTCGTGTCAAATGACAGGTGGGCTAATGCGCGTTCACGGTATGTTCCATTAGCACATTAGGCCCTCACCATAGAAAAGCATTGATGGAGATTTTACTGATGCTGGATGTCCTTGGGTATTGCATGAGGATGTCCAGCGTCAGGTGACCAAAAGTCGCCATGCAGGCAGGAAGTGCCTCTTGCAGCTGCTGCAGGACTAAGGCGGACTGGGACACTGCACCCAGACCACTTCAATGAGCTGGGTGCCTGTAGTGTCCTTTTCAATAGCTGTGAAAGAAAACACAATTGCTACACAAAAGTCTATATTTATACAAGATAGGCTATTATTCAGAGTATAGTTTGAGGCATCAACTTTATTAATGAACCAATTTTAATGATATTGCATACAATTAATGCCTAATGCAAGGCTCAACAAATTCCAGTTACTATGGTGACTATAAATGTTTTCCTGGCCCATGGGTGTTTGTTAGCTTGTTTAGCACTAGCTACCTTAGGGTCTTCCTCCCCCTCCCCGAAGCAGACGGTTGTGATCTTGTAATCTTCAAGATCTTCTTGCTCTGCTCCCTACTGTGCTGCTGGGAGCCAGGATATGACATCACGCCAGCCTCGGCATCACTAAAGTGCATGAGAACGACCAAAGCAAGTAAAGATTGAAGATCACAGCAGCTCCACTGGATCCCAGTGAAAGCGCCCACCTCAGCTTTCCCAGAAGTAGGGAGCTGGGTGGATGTAAAAAAATTTGTGAGAGAATGTATGTCAGTGAGTGTGTCTGTTTAGGTGACTAGCTCCTATCTGATTGCATGGGAAAAGTATTTTGAATTACTCTTCTTCCCAAACTGTGCCTGTCTCGCTTCAGCTGGCCCTATCTCCATGGTTGAGATAATCTTGATCATCACAGCCAATCCAGTGCTTTCCCATAGGAAAGCATTGAGAGGCTTTTGTGCATGCGTGTCAAAATGCCATGCTGCACCAATCGGCATCCCCTCATAGAGATGCATTGAATCAATGCAAGGACAGTGTTTACATTGGGAAACCTGCATGGAGAGGCCATAGATACCAGAACCACTACACGCTGTAGTGGTTCTGGTGCTTACATTGTCCCTTTTAAGAATTGTATTTTTGTCATGGCGGAAAAAACCCTGGCTACTACCTTTTTAAGCTGGCTCCAGATTCAAAGAAAGTTTGTCAAGCTTTATGGACCTTGTTTTGTGCATGGGTAACAGTCATGCTGAAATAGAAAAGAGCCTCCAAACTGTTCCCACAAAGTTGGAAGCATAGCATTATCCAAAATATCTTGGTATGCTGAAGCATTAAGATTTTCCTTCACTGGAAGCAATGGGTCTAGCGCAACCCCTGAAAAACAACCCCATACCGTTATCCTTCCTCCACCAAACTTTACAGTTTGGACAATGCAGTCCCATGATCTGCCAAACCCCAGCTCCCCCATGAGACTGCCAAACGGAGAAGCTTGATTCATCGTTCCACACAACATGTTTCTGCTGCTCCAGAGTCAAGTGGACATGCTTTACACCACTTGATACGACACTTGGCATTGTACTTGGTGATTTGGGGCTTGAATGCAGCTGCTCAGCCATGGAAACCCATCCCATTAAGCTCATGCCACACAGTTTATGTGCTGATATTAATGCCAGTGAAAGCTTGGCACCCTTCAGCTATGGAATCAGCAGAGCATTGGTGACTGTATCATTGGGCATGTTGTATATCAGCCTTGCCAGACAGGGCCACCTCATGCATAGTGCATTGTGAAGCCATTGCTCTTTTCTGCCCACCTTCATCTCGGAAGGTAGAAATCTAATAACTGAAGTATAAGTCGCAGAAACTCCTGCTTTGAGCAGAGTTTACAAAGAAAATATAAAGTTGAATTTTTATATGTTGCATGCAAACAGTGGGCTAACTCCAACTTGGAGTATTGATTTATTATAGGAAGAATTAGGCATCTTCCTTGAGTGCTGACCTAAAAGTAGGTCTTCTGAATCTACACGGATTAGTGGGGAGTTAAGACTATCTCCCCTGACTGATGCATTATGTTCATGTCAAGGGAGCTAACAGTAGCAACAAATAACTTCCCTGGCTGTTTGTTTGACAGCCAGGAGGGTGTTGCGTTATTTAATAAAAGTGCCTTATTAATAATTACTCCTCAACAGTAAAGCACTCTAGCAAGCTGAAGTGCTTTATGGATATGGAGTGGTCCATTAAATTCTAAACTCCCTTTTAATTTCAATTCTAACTTTAGTAAATAACCCTGTAAATCAAACAATAGGTGGAGAAGATGGAAGACCAGGAAATGATTAGGGTTACATGAAGACCCAGGAAAATTACAATTTATAAGAAGGGAGGACACAATGGCGAGGGAGCAGTGAGTGTAAGCTCTCCCTGCTCAGCTCCCCGCAGTGATGCCGGGAGCCGGAATATGACGTCACTCCTGCTCCAGGCATCACTGCGGCGCGCGAGGGAGAGCTTACACTCATCATTCCCTCACTGCCAGTCCGCCCCCCTGCCTGCCCAGCAGTCCCACTAGACCCCAGGTAAGAAAACAACCCAGTCTGTGTGTCTGTCAGTGTGTGTGTGTCTGTGAGTGAGCCTTTTGTGTGTGTGTTTCAAGGAGTAACGGGAGGATCCACTTTTTTAAGGTGCGGATGGGGCCATTGGGGGTATGCCAGAGGCCGGACTGGGATTTAGTAGACATGGTGGGGGAGGGGACTATGATTTAGTAGAGGAGGGGGGACTGGAATTTAGTAGACCAGGTGAGGCTGGGGTTTAGTAGAAGGGGTGAAAATTTACGTTTGTCTTTTTGCGGCTCACATAAACTTTGTTTATTTTGCCCTTGCTAGCCTTTGAGTTTGACATGCTTGGTGTAATGGACACAGGAAAGGATGGAGACTGGGTAGAGAGGTACTTAGCAGAATTCAAGAGACTGACGGTTGAGGGAGGGCAGTGTATACAGAAGGGGAAGAGAAAAAGAATGTGGACCTAGATGGAATATTGTAAGAGGGAAAGGCATGGGCAATGAGAGATGGTTTAGACTAGTTTTAAACAAAACCTAGAAGAATATATAAAGAGACGCTGATGGAAAGGAAGCCAAGTGCAAACAGTGGTGATGCTGATAATTATGATAGATCTAATAGAAAAACACTAAAAGATCCATATTTGCCAAGTGTCTTGTATCTGGTAGAGGTGGTTTCGGAGTGAAATTCAAAGGATCCATTCATAATGTTAATCTTCCTTTTGTCTCTTTAAAAAAAAAAAAAAAGTTTAATGAAGTGGTCTGGGTGCCAGGTCCAGCTAGGGTTAACCCATTTTTTCATAAACATAGCAGTTTCAGAGAAACTGCTATGTTTATGAATGGGTTAAGCCTTCTCATTGACAGCCACTAGAGGCGCTTGCGTGCTTCTCACTGTGATTTTCACAGTTGGAGCACGCAAGCGTCCATAGGAAAGCATTATGAATGCTTTCCTATGTGACCGGCTGCGCGCGCAGCTCTTGCCGTGCGTGCGCATTCAGCCGACGGGGAGGAGAGAAGGAGGATCGGAGGCAGAGAGCTCCCCGCCCGGCGCTCGAAAAAGGTAAGTTTTAACCCCTTTCCCCTTTCCAGAGCTGGGCAGGAGGGGGTCCCTGAGGGTGGGGGCACCCTCAGGGCACTATAGTGCCAGGAAAACGAGTGTTTTCCTGGCACTATAGTGGTCCTTTAAACATAAAACTAAAAAGGTTCTTACTTCCCTTTTTCCAGCTCCGTTTTTTTACTCTCCTCTAACTGGGACCTCACAGAGGAGGCATGACTTTCTCCAATCCAATGTTCCTTATAGAGTACATGCATTTAGGTCAGTATTTTCTCTCCTCTGTCCACCCTTCTCATAATCAATACTTTCTGCACAGCCTTATCGAGCAAGAGCATGTGAGGAGCAGTAAAAAATATATTTTTTTTTTCTTTTTCCGCCCCCTCAATGTTGTGAGAAAAGTACTGGTACAAATGGGACGTATGAGGGAATGTTGAACTGAAATGTTTCCTAAAGCAGGGAAACCCTTGCACCAGTCTTGTCTACTTCCTTTCCATGTCTTTTCATTGTCACTGGCCCCTTGCTTTTCACTTCTGAATTATTTATTCAAAACCGGCCCCTCAAAGTACTAGCCTAAAGGCCATTTCCACCCCAATACTTTTAAGGAACTCTCCAAGCACCATACCCACAACAGCATCAGCTGATCGATCTCAGCCAATGAGCCAAAGCCCTGCATATGCTTTGGAACTTTCAGCTCTCACCCCACCACCACTACCTCAGTGAAAGCTGAAAGTTCCAAAGCATATGCAGGGCTTTAGCTCATTGGCTGAGATCGATCATCTGGCAGAGCCCAGGTAAAAAGTCAAACTGTTTAAAAAAATAAATTAAAAATAATAATAAAAAAATGCAAAGAGGGGTACCTGGGCACTAATGACACCATCACAAATACAGTGACCCTTGAGTAGTGTTTTAATGCAGCCTCCCATTTGACTAGGGCAGTCCCATAATAGTGAATGCCCAGATCCTTTCATACTTATTGTCCCAGTTTACTGTTTGCCCGGTTGGCATATAGGTCCATATTTCATATGTTTGAGACTGCTGGGGAAAAGTGTTTACCCGTATGGCACAATCACATGCCATAACTTCATATATAAGCCTGGCAGGTACACACAGGTGCTGGGAAGATGTAAATACTATGTATGGGAGTGTACGGCTGTGTGTGCATCTGGTAATATGTAACATGCATTAGCCTGTCTGAAGGTAGACATCTGAAACAACCATAAAACGTTGTGAAATAAAAAATAAATAAAAACTTCTCCAAGGGACTAAATCGCCAGATCTACTTGTCAGTCATGACTATCTACTCGTCCTGACACACAAAATTTAAATTTGAAAGATTGGAGCCCCTGCTTAGAGCCTTGGATATTGAGAGGTTTATTCACAAAACTCTGAATCTTCACAAATTTAATATTATTAAAGGATCACTATAGGGTCAGGAACACAAACATGTATTCCTGACCCTATAGTGTTAAAACCACCATCTGGTCTCCTCATGCCTCCGTAGGTATAGCAAAATCTTACTGTATTCAAGCCTGAAGCTATAACTCTGCATGCTGTTTGTCTCAGAAAAACAAGCTGTCTGCTCACATAATCAGAAGTGGTGGCCTGATCAGTGCTTCTCCATGGGATTGGCTGAGACTGACAAGGAGGCAGATCAGGGGCAGAGCCAGCATGATTCAAACACAGCCCTGGCCAATCAGCATCTCCTCATAGAAATGAATCAATGAATCTCTGAGGAAAGTTCAGTGTCTGCACGCAGAAGGTGGAGACACTGAATGTTTGGATGCATTTTAGGCAGCCATGACCCAGGAAGGATCTCTAACAGCCATCTAAGGAGTGGCAGTGTAAGACAGGGCATACAGCAAAAAGCCTCCAGGTAGTGATTCTACTCACCAGAACAAATTCAATAAGCTTTAGTTATTTTGGTGACTATAGTGTCCCTTTGAATGGAAAGAATGAGGCAAAAACAGCTGATATGTAAAATATCTCCAGCTCTCTGCTATAGTTACAACTTTAGGCCTCAATTTTGGATTACCATTTTCAATTATGTAATATATTGAAACATGTTAACTTTTTTTTTTTTATATTGATATGAATTTTAATATTTTGAAAAAGAAAAATTAAGTTTATTGAAAAATATATTGAGCCCTTAATTTGCAAACATTTTGAATTTATTAAATTACCTTAGCCTCATTCTCTGCCCTCTCATAGCTGAAACCTCTGTCTCCAGATTAAGAGGTCCCCCAGAGGAAGGCTTAAATGCCAAAACGTTGGGGTTTTCATTTCTCCTGCTCTTGGTTAGTATACCTTTTTTATGTAATCAGCACTTTATTACTATTGAGGTATTGGTACTATTGATTTGGTATGCATTGTTCTATGCACTTTTTTCTGTCCGTTACTTTTATTGTATGTATTAATCAAAGTTTTTTGTTTGTTTTTTTATGTGCAAACCTTGGCGTGCCTTGGGTTCATTACAATATCTATTATGTATTTAAAGATGATACTCGAAAAATTAGAATATCGTGCAAAAGACAATTTATTTCAGTAATGCAACGTAAAATGGGGAACTAATATATGAGATAGACGCATTACATGCAAAGCAAAATGGTTCAAGCTGTGATTTGTCATAAGTGTGATGTCCTTTTTGAGATTAGACAGAACCATATGCGATGGGTTAATACTTTTGGGAGCCTTAAATGGGGAAAGAGAGTTACCGGGCGTGACAGCTGAGCCCGCAGAATCAGGAATAGCAGGCCGTGCAAGCACATTGGAGGAACAGACTGCTTCTAATTTTGCGAGTCTATCACTTATTAGTCCAATAGAAGACATCAACGAGGTCATCATAGCATGAAGAGCATACATCTGGGTCCCACTAGGCCTTTCCCCTGCATCCGCATGTCGGTGTTGGTATTGAGCAGTCTGAATAACTCCGCTTTTCTGGCAGTAGCTGGGAAAGGAATGCATCTTCTATGTGTGTCTGCTGTGAGACGTGGAATAGTCTGATCTAAGAGAAGATGGACTAGTCACATCAACTCCGTGGGCAGGGGTACAGGACCTAGTGGGGGTGCTAGGAACAGTTCTTCAGGTACTTCAGGAACTTGAGACATACTGAGATGAGATATATATATATATATATATATATATATATATATATCTATTTGTGTGTATACAGTTGCAAGGAAAAGTATGTGAACCCTTTGGAATGATATGGATTTCTGCACAAATTGGTCATAAAATGTGATCTGATCATCATCTAAGTCACAACAATAGACAATCACAGTCTGCTTAAACTAATAACACACAAAGAATGAAATGTTGCCATGTTTTTATTGAACACACCATGTAAACATTCACAGTGCAGGTGGAAAAAGTATGTGAACCCTTGGATTTAATAACTGGTTGAACCTCCTTTGGCAGCAATAACTTCAACCAAACGTTTCCTGTAGTTGCAGATCAGATGTGCACAACGGTCAGGAGTAATTCTTGACCATTCCTCTTTACAGAACTGTTTCAGTTCAGCAATATTCTTGGGATGTCTGGTGTGAATCGCTTTCTTGAGGTCATGCCACAGCATTTCAATCGGGTTGAGGTCAGGACTCTGACTGGACCACTTCAGAAGGCGTATTTTCTTCTGTTTAAGCCATTCTGTTGTTGATTTACTTCTATGCTTTGGGTCATTGTCCTGTTGCAACACCAATCTTCTGTTGAGCTTCAGCTGTTAGACAGATGGCCTTAAGTTCTCCTGCAAAATGTCTTGATAAACTTGGGAATTTTTCCTTCGATGATAGCAATCTGTCCAGACCCTGACACGGCAAAGCAGCCCCAAACCATGATGCCCCCACCACCATACTTCACAGTTGGGATGAGGTTTTGATGTTGGTGTGCTGTGCCTTTTTTTTTTTTCGCCACACCTAGTGTTGTTTGTTTCTTCCAAACAACTCAACTTTGGTTTCATCTGTCCACAGAATATTTTGCCAGTACTGCTGTGGAACATCCAGGTGTGTGTGTGTGTGTGTGTGTGTGTGTGTGTATATTTATATATATATATATATATATATATATATATATATATATATATATATATATATATATATATATATATATATATATATATATGTATATATATATATATATGTATATATATATGTATGTATATGTAGAAAGGCCATTAGGCCTGAATTTGTGGGAGGAGTAAGTCCCCTACTTAAACTCCCAGCCCCTACTCACCGCTGCCGCTCAGCTGATTGTCCTCATAGCAACCAGCACTTCCGGTCCAGCTTCCCGCCAGAACTGTACCTGTTTCCAGCAGTCAGACGTCCTGGTCAATCCTCCGTCCGTTCGAGGTCCTTTCACTCGGTTTTTCCCCGGTCTAGGTACCCGACTTCCGGTCACGAGACCGGCACGTTCACGTAAGCTAGGCGAGGGAATTAGTGTTCGCTATTCCCTGCCGTTTGGGCCTAAATACGTAGGGGTAGGCTCTCTCTATCGCATTTACACTAATACATGCTCTTCGTATAAAGTTTCCGTTCGCGCCAAAACGCACGAATGTTCGGCTCATTTTACTATCGTTTAAACATATTCGTACGGAAACTACCGAATCTATATTTAAAGTATTAAGCTCATTATTATCTGTATTCCCTTTTTCCGTTCGGTCACTCAGTACCAACCTATTTCGTACGGTTAATACACGAACACCATCTTACTAATCCATATTCGGCTATATTTCTATTCTAACAAGCTAAAGTATGCACAAGTTCTAATCACACGAATTCTACTACATTTTTCGTATATTCCTTGTTCGGTCAGATTATTACTAATACCTTCACATCAGTATGGGGTCATACTTTCTGGTTTAACTACCAGCCTTGTTTTTCCTACCTATGCTAACCGATTAACGTATTTTACTGTAATAAACATACTGTTTTAACCATGGTATATACCTTCATACGTGACTAATACAAGCAATACCATTTTTTTAACACTCAGATATGTCATTTAAACACTACTTGCCAGAAATACCCATTACACCAACATCCGTACTATTCCTTTCACATAAATCACGCTGTCACATATTTTGGCTTTTACAGATTGCATCAGTCTCTTGCTTTTCTGCGCTAAAGTTGTTATTTCAAGGTCCTTTATTACAGGAACAGGTATTGTATCTTATCACTTTGAGTTATCAGGTTTTATCACTTACCTTCACATGTCGCTAAATATGGAAATTGTCTTTGGTTAAACCCTTAGATCCTGTATTATTCTAAGCTTCCACCGATTCTACGCAGTTAACCTGCCACGCTTAAACGTAATCTCTGTACTTCAAAACCAAGGTATAGTTCACTCTCTTTTCCATACTAGACCTCACGCGGTCTCAATTCCATTTCTACCTTTCCTCAGGCTTACGCCCACGATACGTTATCTCTTTACTACTTGTCTACACAGACATTCGGTCGTACGGCCATCAGGCTCAGAAAACACCAAAACCTGACCCGGTACTCAGTCATACCTTCAGGTACTTACGTCCTTACTCAAGTACATCCATTCGCTACCCCAAGGCCTCATTCTGCCTTATCACAATATCTAAAATCATCCCATTCTTACACCTAACCTTCCAGATCCCTCAATGCAGGATCTCACGTTGCGCCCCTAACAAACCTACTCCCAATACTAATCATACGACATCACGATACGCATAAATACATCAACATCTGTCTTAAACCCTCAGGATTCTTCCTCAAAGACAGCATTAAGACAAGACTCTCTACACTTATTACCATCAGGAGGCTCCAGATACCATTTGTGACCAGTCAAGGTTAGTATCCACACACCACTCCAGTCCTCTCACTTTACCCTTAAGCATACAATCGAACTGGCTATAGGGCACAGGCTAATGCCTTAGCCCACCCTATCAGGAAATCCGATCCCGCGAGGCCTATCACCCCCACCCCACCTCAACACGGAGGTACGGCCCCACGCCCAAACCATACTTATAAGCCTCGCATGCCCTACTACAGGGCTCTAGTTAGGGCCTCACCTGTCACAGCCACATGTTTTGATTTCTCTTATCGTCACCGAGAGGCCAACATCCCGCCACCACGTCTGTGGCACCTACGTCATAAGCCAAATCATAGGTAGAGCCTCTCACCGCCACTTGGCATTAGCAGGGCCTCACCTATCCAGTCATTCAACAGTTAAGTTTTTCGCCTCGGCATCTAGCATTACAGTCCAGTTCTTCCAGATACACCACCCCCCATACCCCTCCTACTTACCTCACTCCCCCTCTAATATATCTTTCACATAATCATTCCTTTTTAGAATGTCCCAAGAACCAATTCCAACCGAAGAATTGACAGAAGAAACACCATTCACGCCAATCAGACCCGTGTCTCCAGGCGAATCACTCACTCTTTCAACCCCCACGTCCTTGAGAGCATGGACTATTCCCAAAATCACGGCCGAGCTTAGGCTCAGGGGAATCCCCTTTCCGGCCACAGCTAGAAAGGCAGAACTTTACAGGCTGCTTACCCACCAAGCCCCCGAGCCTAGGCCTGGAACTAGCTCTCAAGGACAACCCCCAAGAAACAGCACGGCCACCCAGGATACCCTGGCAGATATCTTGGCCAATCTACAGACCCTCAATAGCAGGCTATCTAAGGTGGAGAGCGCCATCTCCTCCTCAGGTACTAACACCAAAGTCCCAGTCTCTACCACGGCTGTACCTGCTATACCAACATGCCCCCCTATACTCCCCCCTCCAGCACCTGGCACAGCCATCACACCATTCGAGTCACCAGCACACTCCGTCCCAGACTCTATCAGGAAAGATATCCTAGACGGGAAGGATGTGTGTCTGGTGTCTTTACTCATAGCCTCTCAGGATATACTCGAGAACAAGGCATACAACTATGGTGACATTTCAGTTGTGCTCAAAACGAGGGATCCCAGGCTCAATAAAAAATTGTCTTTCCCCCAGTTCGTGATAGCTTTCGGGATATACCGCGATGTCATTTGCACGGTGTATCCCCACAGGAGAGAAGAGCTAGATCTCTATCTCCACAAGGTAGTGGATCTAGGCATCAAGTACGGGGGCTCTTCCTTCTATGACTACCACAAGTCAGTTTCAGCGAAGGCGGCGACCCATCTCAAGCAGTTCAACATTAGAATGAACTGGGGTCAGATGGACACAGAACTTTTCTGTCGCCACTTCGCTGGACTCAGGCCCCCGGCTTGTGCCATTTGTAATTCTACATCCCACATGGCGGACTTATGTCCCATCGAATCAGATCCCACCACCTCCACTCCCACCCCTCACCCCACGTTCTCACCTCACTCCACTTTCACCCCTCACAACAAGCCAGCGGGTGGTGTCACGAACGCACCCTACTCTAAGAGTGTGCGTGACGTAGTTGTGGTGGTGAAAGGGTTAAAGTACACTATTTGTCTGCACTAGACTGGAAATAATGACAAAATCCCCCTTTACCACCACCCACACTTAAACATAATAATATAACTATTACTACTTTAACGCTGCCACCACCAAGACAATTTATAAATGGGGTGCCTTGGTCCCCCAGGTAAATCAATAATAAAACCCACCAAATATTACTTAGTACAATATTTAAGGAATTATAAAAATACTAACTAGTCTCTTCAGGTAACGTGATTCTTAACCAGACAAAGGCAAAACTTAATAAATGAATGTTTATTATGAGCAAAAGATAGTCACAGTGCATATAAAAATATATGATAAACAAATTATTTACACCAACAACAGATAAAAACAAAAAGGATAAAATACAGAAGTCCTAATTACTCACTTAGGTTTTCAAAGTACAACTTCTGTCCAGGGGGTCTCTGGCAAGGAAAGATGGTGACTCACCCAAAATTAGATCTTGGCCCCAAGCAAGTACACCAACACCCTTCAGGATCATTAGATATATACCCTGTGGTTTATCAAGTCTTGCCCAGGGGTGGAGTTAAGGCATACCTACAGAAATAATAACTGACCACCTCCTTTGTTCCAGACCACTGTCAATCCAAATGGAAACATTTGACTCTATCTTCTTTTTTGTACCTGCCACAGAAATAATAATTGCATCTACAAATTTATTATTTTCCCATTCCATAGACATGTTGCACGTCCCACCCACGATCCAATAGGACGGACATCACAATTCCTTTCCCTAGGGTCAAGTTAGGCCACTCATGTTTGGACTTGGTTAGAAGATGGCGCTTGTCACATTCCAAATATAACAAAAATGAGGCTTAATTATTATTCTGTGGGGTAAATATGAATGTTTTTGTCCTTCCTTTGGATATGATACTAGAACAAAGCTAATGGCATTTACATATCAAAGAGATTTACTCATCACTTACAAGGTACAGGCCAAATGGATGAAGAGACATTCAGACTTTTTCCAAGTGTAGAACCTCACACCTTGCAGACTTCACATCCATATAGTAAAATCCTTTTCACATTCCTATGCCATTCACACTACCCCTTCTGTCATCTGCCCTCTGTGGGGGTCCCAGCTTCAAAAGATGTAACCCCTGTTGACCTCAGCAATAGCATCTCTATAATTTGTGCCATTTACTACAAGAAATCACATTAAAAGATGATATTCCATAGTGTCATAATAAATTATACACCCTTGCCGTGACAGGTAGTCTTCGGGATAAGCTGGGTAGGCCCATCTCCTTTTTAGGTAAGGCGCGGGTGTGCAATAATTTCAACGCAGGCTCCTGCAGTTTCAGCGCCTGTAGATTATTGCACATCTGCTCCATATGTTTCAGGGCACATACCAAGACCATGTGTCCAGCCAGGTTGTCACCAAACAAATGACTAACCGACATAAATATGGACAACCTGGTTTTTTATCTAAGGTCTCACCCCAGCAGGCACTTGGTGGATTTTCTCACCACAGGTTTCTCACAGGGGTTTCACACAGGCATAGTAGCCATTCCCCCAGGTACACTAGAATGTCCTAATCTCCAGTCAGCATGTTTAGACCCAGTCGCTATAGACACTCTCATTTACTCAGAAACCACTAACGGTTTCATGATCGGACCCTTCACCTCTTCACCGTTTTCCTCCTGGCGCACTAACCCTATTGGAATTGCTATTCACAAATATTCTAATAAAAAACGTCTTATCGATTTATCGGCACCGCACTCCTCTTTTGTTCCAAGCATAAACGCACTCATTCCAGCAGACGAATTCTCACTTCAGTATGTTACCATCGACGACGCCATACAGTCCATCATATCATCTGGTAATCGACCCTGGCTCAGCAAAAAAGACATCACAAACGCGTTTAAATTACTGCCCATACACCCCTCACTCTGGCACTTACACAGTGTTAAATGGCGAGGGAATTATTACTTCTCAACACACATATACATACACACGTTGCGTTGAAATTATTGCACACCCGCGCCTTACCTAAAAAGGAGATGGGCCTACCCAGCTTATCCCGAAGACCACCTGTCACGGCAAGGGTGTATAATTTATTATGACACTATGGAATATCATCTTTTAATGTGATTTCTTGTAGTAAATGGCACAAATTACAGAGATGCTATTGCTGAGGTCAACAGGGGTTACATCTTTTGAAGCTGGGACCCCCACAGAGGGCAGATGACAGAAGTGTGAATGGCATAGGAATGTGAAAAGGATTTTACTATATGGATGTGAAGTCTGCAAGGTGTGAGGTTCTACACTTGGAAAAAGTCTGAATGTCTCGTGTGTGTGTGTGTGTATGTATATATGTGTGTGTGTGTGTGTATATGTATTAAGGCAATTTGCCTGCATTTGTGGGAGGTGCTGGTTTGCTACCCCTAGCCTACTTAAGGCACTCCCCTTGCCTGGCTCCTTACCGTTCGAGGTCAGCGTTGAATGAGGATCCACTTCCGGGTTCTCTCAGACGCCATCTTGGTTTCAGTATCCAGGAGGTTTCACCACGTTAAGCTGTGTCCAGGAATCCTGTTCAGGCCTTTCCACCCGTCCAGCTTCTTCTGACTCCGATCTCCATCGTAGATCGCGTCCCAGGGACTCCTAAACCGTAAGTCAGACCTTCCTGTCACGCCAGGACTGGTTCCCATGGCGTACGGTACAGCACGGGTCCTCGCTTTATGGCTTTTTCCGTGGTTATGACACGAATGTTTTAAGCCATTTGCGGGCTTTTTCATTCGTACGGTCATTCGGCTGAACATATTTAATCGTTCAATAGTCATTTTGCATATCCTATTTCATGTTATTGAAACGAATTATCATTCAGTTTTTTTGCCGTTCGGCAAATTTTGACATACGCTCATACACGCTTTTGGTTCGCATAAGTCATACGGTTAAACTATTCTAACTTCTGTGTTCCCCTGTGTGTTCACGTATAATCCTTTCATGAATTATATTCACCATTTCATGTGTATATAACGTTCGGTTAAAGAATTGCTTGCTTAAATAGATTATTTTGATTACTTTTAAATATTGTCCGTATTGTATTACGTCCACAAATCAAGTCCACTTCTCTGTATATACCATTTGACTCCCACGCTTTCAGGGGTCTGCATTACTTATCCATTTATACAAATGGACTCAGCCTATGTTACAAGCCTCACTTCTGGGTTATTAATACAACACATACAAAGGATATAGGTTAATTTAAGCAATAATTCTCGGGTTGATACGTCTTTTCTATACAAATATATCATATAGATATACATCACTTTACATCATTTTAAATCATTTTGGGGTATCCCTGCCTTTGGTTATTCTGCTACATATCATACATAACGCTGTGCAACTTTCTGCCACCTACACCTTAAACTGTCGCACAACACCATTAAACTTTACCTCACCGGGGTTCAGCACCACAGCCTCACCAATTTTCCTAACCGCACTCCTTTTTTGTCATCATACCCCATTAAAAAGGTCTTGAAAGGTATATCAAAGGTTTCACCTCCACTCGCAAGCACTAGATTACCTATAGACGGGCCTATCTTCAGGTCACTTAGCAATCTCCTTGAGACAGCCCCATTCGATAGCAACACCAATACGGTGATCAAATCTGCTATATATCTCGCTTTCTATGGTTTTCTCAGACCTAGAGAGTTCGCCATGGTTTGTCAAGGGGATATCGCGCTAAGCCTTAAAACGTCACACCTCACCAAGATAGAGGATCACTACCTACTTTCTATCCCTACCACTAAAACCAACCGGTCACTACACCCTACAATAATTCCTCTCTTCCCTACTGATAATGCCTGGTGTCCGGTGAAAGTTCTAGACCACCTACGGTCAACTCTTCACGCTCACCTGGCAGACTCTCCGCTCTTAACATTACAAGGGCACCCGCTTACCACGGCAAAATTGATGTTACATGTCAGAACCCTGTTATCTAAGCTCGGACACAACCCGGCTGCATTCTCTGGGCACTCCTTCCGTATAGGAGCTGCCTCAGCAGCCCCTAGCACAAACGCACCGGTCCACATCATCAAAAGGCTGGGGCAATGGAAATCCTCCATATATAATGCATATATTCCGCAACCGGAGAAAGAGCTTCGCCAAGCTTTCAGGAACTTGGTCTTGTAAGATGCAATAAAGTGTGTATTTTCTCGAATTTATCTTTTGCCCTCTTTTATTTACAGGCCCACTCGTACGTTGGTTTCGGCACTCCACAGCCAACTTTGCTCACAGATACTATCCATTACGTATTTAAATTCTGAGCACAAGTAGAAAGGCCATTAGCCCTGAATTTGTGGGAGATGTAAGTCCCCTACTTAAACTCCCAGCCCCTACTCACCGCTGCCGCTCAACTGATTGTCCCCACCCACCTACACCCTGTTTTAACTACATTCTCCTTGGTGGGCCCTCTTTTATTTACAGGCCCACTCGTACGTTGGTTTCGGCACACCACAACCAACTTTGCTCACAGATACTATCCATTACTTATTTAAATTCCGAGCACAAATATATATATGTGTGTGTGTGTGTGTGTATGTATGTATATATATATATATATATAATATATATATATTGTGTGTGTGTGTGTGTGTGTGTATATATATATATATACACACACACACACATTATGTGTGTGTGTGTGTATATGTATTAAGGCAATTTGCCTGCATTTGTGGGAGGTGCTGGTTTGCTACCCCTAGCCTACTTAAGGCACTCCCCTTACCTGGCTCCTTACCGTTCGAGGTCAGCGTTGAATGAGGATCCACTTCCGGGTTCTCTCAGACGCCATCTTGGTTTCAGTATCCAGGAGGTTTCACCACGTTAAGCTGTGTCCAGGAATCCTGTTCAGGCCTTTCCACCCGTCCAGCTTCTTCTGACTCCGATCTCCATCGTAGATCGCGTCCCAGGGACTCCTAAACCGTAAGTCAGACCTTCCTGTCACGCCAGGACTGGTTCCCACGGCGTACGGTACAGCACGGGTCCTCGCTTTACGGCTTTTTCCGTGGTTATGACACGAATGTTTTAAGCCATTTGCGGGCTTTTTCATTCGTACGGTCATTCGGCTGAACATATTTAATCGTTCAATAGTCATTTTGCATATCCTATTTCATGTTATTGAAACGAATTATCATTCAGTTTTTTTGCCGTTCGGCAAATTTTGACATACGCTCATACACGCTTTTGGTTCGCATAAGTCATACGGTTAAACTATTCTAACTTCTGTGTTCCCCTGTGTGTTCACGTATAATCCTTTCATGAATTATATTCACCATTTCACGTTCGGTTAAAGAATTGCTTGCTTAAATAGATTATTTTGATTACTTTTAAATATTGTCCGTATTGTATTACGTCCACAAATCAAGTCCACTTCTCTGTATATACCATTTGACTCCCACGCTTTCAGGGGTCTGCATTACTTATCCATTTATACAAATGGACTCAGCCTATGTTACAAGCCTCACTTCTGGGTTATTAATACAACACATACAAAGGATATAGGTTCATTTAAGCAATAATTCTCGGGTTGATACGTCTTTTCTATACAAATATATCATATAGATATACATCACTTTACATCATTTTAAATCATTTTGGGGTATCCCTGCCTTTGGTTATTCTGCTACATATCATACATAACGCTGTGTTAATTAGGCCATGACCTCATCCATGTCCCTTTCTATAAAACCAGTTACATTTCGGTACAGATCATTGAACTCCCACGCCAGGAGTTTTATAACTATCCATTTCATTTCAATTCACTCAGCCTATATTACAGGCCTCATTTCTCTGTCATGACGATGACACATAAGGCTTAAATCCTTTTTATGCATACTCGGGTTGAATCACACGTACTGATCCAACCAATCATACGTCCCCTGCACAGTCATATACATATGTATATAACCTACGTTTCATGTTTTCCTTTACACACCATTATCACGTAACACATAGATTGTTTGTACATAGGCCACGGCCTCCCTCAGATGTCTTATTCAAGCATGCAAACATTTCTGAGCCACTCATAGCTATTCCCATGGTATCAACATAATTTTATACATTGCTGCTACAGACTATAAGTCTGTTTCTTTTCACACTCCACACTCATCATACTACTCTCTTTTACCCATTTTTAGGCTGTCAAGCTTATATAATTGCTCCACACGGTTTATTCCTGTGATTTGTCATACTACCAGGTACGTACACCTGCTCATATGGTATTCTACCATACATTTCATTTCATCCCCCTAGTTTAGAGTACTGGCAATAGGGTCACAGGATTCCCAATAGGTATTTACCCCGTCTTGGCTGTCGCCATCAGTTAGTGGTCCCGCGAGGCCAACACCCCGCCTCAAACGTTTCGGAGGCAAACACCCATCGGGCCACACGTTAGCTAGCCGCCTCGCATGTTGCAAAGAGAGGGCCTCACCTGTCACTCCCTTCCCCTGTTTTCTGTCGTACAGTCACCGAGAGGCCTAAAACTCCTGCCACTACGTCAAGTGGCCTCAATAACCCCTCGCGCCAACGCATAGATAGAGCCTCTCAAGCCGCTTGGCAATTAGCAGGGCCTCACCTGTCACCAAACAAGTATAATACTTTCGCCATCCGGCCTAGCTAGCCTGCCAGTACAATTTGGTGGTTCTATATACTAATTATTGTTTTATTTATAGTATGTCTCAGGAAGGGGTAGAGGATTTCTCCCTGCCTAGCACCCCGGCTAGAGCTGTCACTCCCACACAAGGAGAGCTAGCTAGTTCAGCATCAATTAGATCATGGACAATCCCGCGCATAACCACGGAATTAAGGAGACGACAAATCCCCTACCCCGCTACAGCAAGGAAGGCAGAACTTTTCAAACTGCTACGCACATCAACTAATAACATGGAAGCCGGGGAAGGATCTAGCCAGTCCAACCCAGGGGACATACATGCCATGTTATCCTCACTCATGGCATCCATGGGCAAGGTCAACTCCAGGCTGGAGAAACTTGAGTCGGTCACCACGGCCCTCACTCTAGCAGGGCCACCCGCGGCTGCGGTACAAACACCAGCCTTGCCATTAGTCGCTCCAGCCAGCACCCTGGATGACCAGGAAGTTAGCCCGGCCCACATGATACCTGAGCATATCAAAAGGGATATCCTGGAAGGTAAAGACGTCAACCTGGCTTCCCTGTTGATTGCCTCCCAGGACATTGTGGAACATAAGACGTATGCTTATGATGATGTTTCTGTTATTGTCAGATCTAGGGATGCCCGCCTGAACAGGAAACTGACTATCCCTGAATTTGTACTAGCGTTTGGTATTTACAGGGATGTCATCTGTGCGGTTTATCCCAACAGAAGAGAGGAGTTTGATCTCTATATGCACAAGCTGGTAGACCTGGGCAACAAATATGGTGGTTCAGCATTCTATGACTACCATAGGTCTTTTTCTGCAAAAGTGGCTGGAGCCTTCTCCCAGTACGGTACACGATCCAACTGGGGAAGGATTGATACCGTCTTATTTTGCAGACACTTTGCAGGTCTAAGAACACCAGCTTGTGCATACTGCTCCTCCACAGCCCATACTACTAATTTTTGTCCCAACACGGCAGACGGACATGCCTCCACACAAGGAACTAGTTCCTCTGGGGATCCAGGGAAACTATCCAAAGACAAATTGGGACGCCTAATCAAGTTTCTGGGCAAGTCCCAGATATGTAATAATTTCAATGTTGGGTCTTGTAATTACAGTGGATGTAGACTATTGCATGTCTGTTCAAAATGTTTTAGGGCACATGCAAAGACCATGTGTCCAAATAAAATGTATTCCAAGCCTTACCTTACGTCCATTAATATGCCAGTATTCACAGCATTGATGTCTCAGCACCCATCTAGACACCTGGTAGATTTTCTTATTTCTGGTTTAACAGAAGGCTTCCACACAGGTATCCTACACATACCAGCTGGAACTCTGGAATGCCCTAACCTACAATCCGCCCAACACAACCCAACAGTGGTTGACACCCTCATAGACCAAGAAGTGGATGAGGGCTTTGTATTGGGGCCTTTTAGAACTCCTCCATTCACAGAATGGCGCACCAACCCTATTGGAATTGTCACAGGGAAATCTTCCCAAAAACAGAGACTCATCATTGACTTATCGGCTCCCCACTCATCGGCCAACCCCAGTCTTAATTCCCTCATACCCTCTGAGGAACTCTCTCTGCAATACACCACCATAGATCACGCCATTACAGCTATCATACAAGCAGGGGTTGGAGCCTGGCTCAGTAAGACCGACATTACTAACGCCTTCAAATTACTCCCTATCCACCCCACACTGTGGCACCTGCATGGCATCAAGTGGTCCGGGAACTACTATTTTTTCTCCCGGTTAACTTTTGGGTCCAAAAGTAGCCCAGCTATTTTCGACACATTTGCCGAAGCATTATGCTGGTTACTATTGAACATAGCCGGATGCCCTACGGTATTACATTACTTGGATGATTTCCTACTGGTCGAGGAGAATACTGCACCTCCCACTAGCCTCAAAGCTACCACTAAGCTGTTTGAGCAACTAGGTGTACCCATCTCCCCAAAGCAAACAGAAGGGCCGGACACGGTTATCACTTTTCTGGGTATCCAATTAGACTCTGCCACAATGCAAGCAAGCCTACCATACGATAAGATAGAGAATATTCTCACTTACATAAACAACTACCTACAGCTCGGCACTTGCAACCGCAAAGAACTACAGTCCCTGCTGGGGTCACTAAATTTTGCGATGCGCATCATACCTCAAGGCCGCTCCTTTATTTCACGACTATTGCATCTTTTCCCACTTTTTCTACATGACACGCACAGGTTGTCCTTAGATGCCCAAGCTACGGCAGATCTAAACATGTGGAAGAGATTTTTAACCACTTGGAATGGTAAAAGTATGTTCCTCCCTCAATTGACTGAATCATCTCCTACCATTTGGTCAGATGCGGCATCTACCACTGGTTTTGCAGCAATTTTTGGGAACGAATGGCTTTGGGGCAGCTGGCCTTCAGCAGTTCTGGATTTGGAAGGTTTTTCCACTACCTCAGCTCTTTTTGAGATCTACCCCATAGTGGCGGCTGCCGTAGCGTGGGGTCATTTATGGGCTAATACGCCAGTGCGTTGTTACTCAGACAACCAGGCGACCTGTCACATCATCAACAAAGGTCGTTCCAAATCTCTTACGATTATGAGATTTCTGAGGAAACTCACTTGGTTGGCAGCTTGTCATAATTTCTTCCTATGTTGTTTCCATGTGCCAGGTGTATATAACACAGCTGCTGACAGTTTGTCTCGCTTTAAATTTCAGGAGTTTCATCAAGCACTCCCGTCAGCAGCACCCACAGCCACCATCACTCCAACATTTCAACAACTCATACTGGACTAGACGTCATCATGCAGCATAGCAGGACATTGTCCCAGTTGGCACTTTCAAACAATACAAACAAAACATACAGCAGGGCTTTCACACTATTCAAACGATTCCTTCTGGAACATAACATCATACAACCGTTTGTTATGACATCTTTTTTGGGGTTTGCTTCCTTTTGCCACCTTAAACTCAAAATGTCATACAACACCATCAAACTCTATCTCACTGGCATTCAACACCACATGCTCATCTTACACCCAAATAACAACAGTTTCATGGCCTCTCACCAAATTAAGACCATACTCAGAGGTATTCAAAAATCAGAACCCACACATTTGGCCCAGAGGCTACCCATAGATAACCATATCTTCAAAGCATTATCTAACCTACTCGACCTAAAACCGTTTGACACTAATACGAATTCTATCATCAAAACAGCAATATACATCGCTTTCTATGGATTTCTACGACCCAGAGAATTCACTACGACCTCCACGACCCAAACCATTCCATTCCTCCTCTATTCCCACTTGACAAAACATATGGATCATTACTTCCTGTCTTTACCTCACTCCAAAACCAGCCAGCACATACCTGTAAACATTCCGTACTATCCCACGCACAACAGATGGTTTCCCGTCAAGGTTCTTGATGCCTACATACAGCACCATCACTTACTGCCCTCGCAACCGTTATTACAACTACAAGGTGCAGTACTCACCACTACAACCTTCATGACCTACGTCAGGTCCTTGCTCACACAACTGGGCCTCAACGCAAACAATTACTCAGGACACTCCTTTCGTATAGGAGCCGCGTCCACAGCCTCCAGTGTCAACATCCCAACTCGTTATCAAAACACTGGGGTGCTAGAAGTCATCCGCTTACTCACGGTACATACCGAACCCAGTACAAGAATTAAGGGATGCTTTCATAAACATGTCTGGTTGATAAATGTATATGTATTGGTTGTCTGTTAATAAATTTGATTACTTAATTTTTGCCCTCTTCTTTCTCAGGCCTACCTCATCGTCGGTTTCGGCACACCACAACCGACTTGCTCCTTTTATCATCCTTCGCTTATTCATGGTATTTCACACTGTACTATCTTAAGCACCTAACACAAGTATTAAGGCAATTTGCCTGCATTTGTGGGAGGTGCTGGTTTTCTACCCCTAGCCTACTTAAGGCACTCCCCTTGCCTGGCTCCTTACCGTTCGAGGTCAGCGTTGAATGACCCTCCCACCACACCACTTTTAACATTTATTTCCTTTCTATTTCTTTTCCTGGGTGGGCCCTCTTCTTTCTCAGGCCTACCTCATCGTCGGTTTCGGCACACCACAACCGACTTGCTCCTTTTATCATCCTACGCTTATTCATGGTATTTCACACTGTACTATCTTAAGCACCTAACACAAATATAAATATATATATATGTATATGTATGTATATGTATATGTGTGTGTGTGTGTATGTTTATATATATATATATATATATATATATATATAATGTGTGTGTTATGCATGGGGTTATTGCATGTTTTGGGGTCCCTGTGATGTGTTTTATGAAACTGTATTTCTCTGTCTGTGATAATTAGATTACCCATTGTGTAAGGTAATTGTATTACAGGCAGAGGGGAGGATTTTGTGTGGGAGTGTCTGTGTGTATTGTACAGATTGATTGGTTGTTCTGTAAAACCCTGTGGGCAGTACTATGTTTGTGGATTGGGAATAAGAGGCTGTATGTGCCAGTACAGTGAGTTCCTGTTTAACCCTCAAAGTGAAGTGTCGTCTCATTATTGGGGGAAGGATTCATTGTATGCTGTTCCAGTTTGACTGCTAGGAGAGTAAACCTATTCGTATGGTTCCTATTCAACTGTCTACAGCATTCATATGCTTGGGAGAATTTATTTGTTTCTCCGGTTCGGTGATTGTGGTGTCTGCCAGAGTGCTTGGAGTCCTCAGGAAGCGCTAGGAGCATCCTTCAACGGAGGTACCCAGTCGGGGTGCCAGGTGATCCGTTACAGTATATATATGTGTGTGTGTGTGTGTGTGTGTGTGTGTGTGTGTGTGTGTGTGTGTGTGTATATATATATATATGTGTATATATATATGTATATGTGTGTGTATGTATGTATGTATGTATATATACATACATACATACACATACACACACATATATATAAATATATATGTGTGTGTGTATATATATATATGTGTATGTGTATATGTGTGTGTGTGTGTGTATATATATATATATATATATATACATATATGTGTGTGTGTGTGTGTGTGTGTGTATATATATGTATTTGTGTGTATATATGTATGTGTGTGTGTATATGTGTGTGTATATAATGCAGTGTGCGTAAACTGGGTGAGGGGATTTTAATTTTTTTATTGTAATATTTTATTATTTTAATATTTGTATTTTTTTTTTTTATGGTTTTTTTTTGTCCCCCCTCCCTTGTTGCCTGGCCAGGGAGGGGGGACAAAAAACATTTAAAAAAAAATTGCAAATATTAAAATAATAATATAATAATAAAATATTGTTATTAAAATATAATATTAAAATAATATTACTATATTATTATTTTAATATTTGCATTATTTTTTTTTAAATGTTTTTTTTTTGTTCCCCCTCCCTGGCCAGGCAACAAGCTATTTTTTTTTTATTTTTTAAATAATGCAAATATTACAATAATAATATAATAATAAAATGTTATTATTTTAATATTATATTATTTTAATAATATTATTAAAATAATAATATTGAATCCCTGGTGGTCCAGTGGCATTGGCAGTTCAGTGGGGGGGCTGGCAGTGAGCTCTTACCTACCTTCCTGCAGCTCCTGTCAGCTCCCTCCTCCTCCGTGCAGCTCCTTTGTCAGCTCCGTTCCGTTTACAGTGTAAGTCTTGCGAGACTTACACTGTGAGCAGAACGGAGCTGACAGAGGAGCTGCACGGAGGAGGAGGGAGCTGACAGGAGCTGCAGGAAGGTAAGTAAGAGCTCACTGCCAGCCCCCAACAGGACCGCCGGGCTTGTAATGAGCCCGGCGGTCCTGGTCTGTATTATGGCAATGTAAGTTGCCATAATACAGACTGACTCGAGTATAAGCCGAGTGGGGGTTTTTCAGCACAAAAAATGTGCTGAAAAACTTGGCTTATACTCGAGTATATACGGTATGTATGTGTGTGTGTGTGTGTGTGTGTGTGTGTGTGTGTGTGTGTGTATATATAGATGTAAAAAACAGATACTATTCTTATCTTGCAATACCTTTTTTATTGGACTAACAGAATTTTTTAATGACAAGCTTTAGGGAGAACCTCCCTTTCTCAAGTCTGAAGCATTTCTGAGCAAAACACATAGAATTCAAAGTTGAGTTGTGATACAGGGGTTAAAGCGACATGAGTGTAGATAAGACACAGGTTTGTTAGAAAATAGACACCATCTTAGCAGAGGGTCATAAATATCTTGTTGAAGAGCAGAGTGAGGGGGGAGAGAGGGAAAAGAAAAACAAGCAGACAGTGCACAGGATGGTACACTTTATACATGCACACACACAAATATGTATACGTGAACGCATAAACACATGTACATATACATAAACGCATATACATACATGCACTACAACAATAAAACCTACAGCATTAAAGGTTCATACTCCTGCACATCCAGCAATGTGGTATACATGATTCAATGCATAAAATGCCACCTAGGATGCTACATTGGGGAAACCACCCAGCCATTAAATGGCAGAATGAATATGCACAGACACTCTATTAAACACCACAAAGAAGAATCATACTGCACTCCTGTGGGACACCACTTTACCCAGCCTAGCCACTCACTGAAGGACCTAAAAATCAAAGTACTGAAAGGGGTTTTTAAAAATACCCAGGAAAGAAAAGCCTTTGAAGCCAGAATGATTAAATGGTTTAACAGCAAGAATAGAGGACTAAATATTGATTTGGGATTCCTATCCCACTACCAACACTTTACATGAACACTCTCCCAGCATTATCTTACTATTCTGTCATATGTACCAACACTTTAAAATGCATTCCTATATGTTTATTCTATCTATATACAAAGTACTATGTGTAGACCTATGCTTTCCCATACTCGTATGCATGAATGCTTATATAGTGGAAAATTTATTCATACTTACCGTAATTTTCTTTTCCTGGCTATTATTCATGGCAGCATATACACATGGGTTAGTTCCTCCCCTGCAGCCGATAGGACAGGAAATCCACCAAGGTTTTAAAAGGAAGCTCCATCCCTAAGGTCCTCAGTCAGTTTACAAGCTCTACAGTACATAAATAGAGACATTAATGGGAGGGAAGTATATGCTGCCATGAATAATAGCCAGGAAAAGAAAATTACGGTAAGTATGAATACATTTTCCACTTTCCTGGCTAATCATGGCAGCATATACACATGGGGAATACCCAAGCTTACAAAGGGAGGGACAGAATAGCCAATCAAATTATCAGAATAATTCAACATAGATAGAAGAATGAACTGAGTTAAGTACTTGAGTACCAAATTGTGCATCATAGACTGTTTTAACGAACAGTATGAAATGCCAGACAAACGTGTCTAAAGGAGGTTCAAATGCTAGCTTACAAAAAGTGTCAGCAGAAACCATTGCCATGGCAACCCATGATGCTGCAACAGCATGAGAGGAGAGTGCCCTGATACCTTCCAGCACAGGTAGAGAACGGACGTGACGTCCAAATTGTGCCTCATTAATTGCTTCAATGTCCAATATGTAATGCAGGACAAACTAGTTCAAAGAGGTCAAAATGCCAACTTTACAAAGTTTCAGCAGAGACCATTTCCATGGAAGCCCACGAGATGCTGTAACAGCACTAGTGGAGAATGCCCCAAATCCTTTGCTACAGGTAGAGAATGGCATTGAAAGGCTCTCACTTTGGGCACGATCACTGGTGCTACATGCAAGACAAGCATATCCTGTTGAAATTCAGTGAATGGGGCTACACAGGATCAAGCCTGGAGTTCACCCATTTCCCTTGCTGGGGTACCAGCCACCAGCACTTTCTGTGCTACCACCATGGAAGCTCCTTCTAGAGGTTCGAATAATGGTTCAGTCAGGGCCCGTGAGACCAGTGGTACATCATATATTGGCTTCACCACACTCAGTGGAGGCATGATTTCAATCAATGCCTATATGAAGCAAAGTGCCGCAAGTGCACACATTCACCCTGCTGAGGTACCAGTCACCAGCAACAGCAACGTCTGGGCTAACATCATGGAAGCTCTTGATAGAAGTACAGTCAGAGTCTGTGAGACCAGTGGTACGTCACGTATTGGTTTCAACACCCTCAGCGGAGGCTTGAGTTCAATTGTTGCTTACATGAAGCAAAGCACCAGGGGCATCAACGCTCAATCGGTACCCTTCAGTACAGGTAGAGAATGACATGGATAAGCATTCACCATAGACAGGATCTTCAGGTGCCAAATGCAAGACGACCATATCTGTTGAAAAGTAGTGAAAGGGGGTTCACAGGATCAAGCCTGGAGTTCACCCATTTTTCTTGCTGGGGTACCAGCCACCAGCACTTTCTGTGCTACCACCATGGAAGCTCCTTCTAGAGGTTCGAATAATGGTTCAGTCAGGGCTCGTGTCACCATTGGTACATCACATATTGGCTTCACCACACTCAGTGGAGGCATGATTTCAATCAATGCCTATATGAAGCAAAGTGCAGCTAAGTGTTCCTCTAGAGTGTTCTAACACAGAACCTTTCAAGGCCTGAACGAAGAGTAATTCCAACAGACAAAAGCATATCAAGCTTAGTAAAGCCTGTATAGGATTGTAAGAGGATCTCAATGACCGTCTCAGGGATGCCTATACTAATATGGACTCCCGCATCAATACCAGAACTTGAGGATCCTGGTGTGTCATGGGGCCTTGTAATAGGTCTGGACGTACAGGAATTTCCCTTGGAGGTTCCAGAATCATCTTATTCATCATAGGAATTAGAGTCGACACGGTCTTCCACTGTCACCTTTTACATTGCCTTTTTAAGAAGGTCGAAAACAGGAAAATATGTACATCAAACTAAAATTCTAAATTTGAGCCAGTGTATCCTGAACCTGAGCATTCTGGTCCTAGCATGTAAAAAATACTTCTGGACCTGGTAGTTCCAAGAAATGGCCATCAGACAATCTGCATCAACCACGAGGATCCGTCAGGACATGGTTGCCAATCCACCTTGTCCACAGTTCTTCGGCTCCAGCAAACAGCCATGGTATTCTGAGCCACTGGTTGTTCTTCTGTGCCCTGATCATTATGGGCTGGAATTCCATCAATACGTATCTGTGAGACCCATCTTGGTAGATATAGGATACAGTTGCATTGAAATTTGAGCAAATTTGGACCCACTCTGAAGTGAAGAAGAGCCTAGAAAATAACTCTTAATTCCATACAAATGAATGGAAATATTGTGCAACATGGTCCAAACACTGTGCAACCAATCTTATAAAAACTGGACTTCGAGCTAATAATTGACCAATGAGGTTCTGTTCACTGGAAACTCAGAGATCCAATCCCTCTTTCAGCTGCCAGGGTAAGGTGCAACTCCAATGATAGGGACATAGTAAGTGGCTGGCTCTAATAATCTCTCTCTTGTTAGACCAAGATAGGAAGGATCTGTAAGGAATCCAGAGATGCCATTGGGCCCCTCTGACAAGTCTGCTGGTGGAAGCCCGGATTCCTAGTAGTTGCATCTATTTTCTTGCTGTTACCAAGCAGAAATGAAGAAACTGGGAGAGAAAACCTTTACAATCTGTGGAACTGTTCCTGAGATAGGGAAAAGCAGAGCCTAGAATTTTCCACTCAGGAATGTCAATCACTGAGCTGGTTTGAAACTGCTTTTCTTGATATTTATCAAGCAGCCAAACTTTAGAAAGAACTATATACCTATGAACTATATACCTATGTGTGCCTGCCTTCTGAGGGTCTAAGGCTATCACAAGTAGATCCTACAGATAATGGAAGCAGGTGGAGTTCTGGACTCTCAATAACACTATAAGCACATAGAAAGATTCTTGGGTCCACATTGAGGCCAAATGGTAGGGCACTAACATGGAAGTTCTCTTCTGAGCTAATGCCGAAGATCTCTGCAGATTGGACTGAAAGTAAGCATCCTTGAGATATATAGAGGTAAGGAAATTATCCTTCCAGATTGCTTGAGATATGGATCTGATTGACTCCATCCTGAAGACTAACATTCAGCCTCTTGTTGGCCCCTCTTAGGTCCAGTGTAGGCTTTCATGTGCTTTTCCTCTTAGCACCAGAAGAGAGGTCGAAACTTGTCCCTGGAACTGCTCTTGTTCTGGGACCTAAAAAAAATCACCTCTTCGTCCAGAAGGCTTCTTCCTTCAGTGCTTTACCTTTTGATTCATTGGTCTTAATACTCCTATTGGTATGGAGACTCCCGTGCCCGTTACGAAAAACTCCAGTCAATATCAATCTGGGCCATGGATAAGACTCAAGCCTCCAGAGTATGACAAGCCCAGGTATGTGGGATCAGAAAAATGAGGCTCCTAGTAATGGAGGAGATATGTTCGTTGCTGAAGAGCAAAACAACTGTGTTATAGCTCCATTAGTTACCTCTGGAGTATTCCATGCAGGGCCAGTAGCTCCATATCTCAGACATACTGGTCACTGGAGGTTCTCCGGTCAGACTATGAGGAGCTGGGATCCTTGGAACTTCCATCCTAAGGTACCAATATTTTGCAGCCCTCATTCACCTTTTCAATGGAATTATCCAAAGTTTTCCCAAACAGCACCACCCCTTCAAATAGAATGGTGTAGAGGGCAGACTTGGAGGATGAGTCATCATCCCAGAAACAGAACCATAATGCTTTCTTAGCTGCTATAGATAAAGCCATTTGATCCACAGAATATCCTAGATACATCTAGGGAAGTTTCTGTGAAGAAGTCAGTTGCAACCTGAAGACTTCAGACTGTCTCTTCAATCTTGGCTTTTAATATCTCTCTCCATAGTAGCCTTTAGATCTTTAATCACATATTTCATGTTTGTAGAAACTGCAGCAGAAATCACAGCTGGCTGGCCTCCTGCAATGGTAGGCATAAAATTTTGGATAGGTCTGCGTCCACCTATGATCCATAAGTGTGCAACTTAGGTGGTGTAGTTCTGGGGTTGGAAATAACTTCCTCCACAGGGTAAAGCCTGGCCTCTTTTCTTACCCCTAAGGCCTCTGGAACTTACTTTGTAAGCCCTGCCCGCATGTCATGTGGCTGCACAGTGATAGGTCATGCTGAAGCGACCACCTTCTGGAGGCAGTCAGTGCATAACCGATTCCTTCCACTGTATTCTCCTCATATCCAGATCCTGGTGAAGAATCAGACACCTGACAAATAATAATAACTAAATCTTACCTGTGGTAAAGTATTAAGAAAAAATGCGCACTGTTAAATTCTATAAGAAACCAGCGAAACAGCTTTAAAACAGGCTGAAGACAGCACTTATCCATGTCTGGAGACCCTGCAAATACTTACCAAATAAGTATGGTATGTTTACTGTAATTTTCCCTTTATTTTAGGAACTTTCTGGCAATTGCCCTTATCCAAGATGGCTGCCACAACTTGTATTCCCACAATGCAAGTCATCTGTATTAGGCCCAATAAGGCACAAACTGCACACATGTGGGCCTATTCTGAGTGTGTTTGCTATTAGAGACCAGGGAGAGGTCTCTGTCTGAAGCCAACATGGCCCCTAAACACCCAGGGAACCGGGAATAAATCACTGGGACCGAGGGGAAGCAACATAGATAACAAAAGTGCCTGCAAGGAAGTTTAACCCCTTAAGGACCAAACTTCTGGAATAAAAGGGAATCATGACATGTCACACATGTCATGTGTCCTTAAGGGGTTAAAAGGAAACCAGAAGCAAAAAATCAATTTTAAAGGCACCACAGTCTAAAGGCCGCAAGGTATAAAAGGTAACGGTTTCCAAAATGTATCACAGTTTCCAAAATGTATCACAGTTTCCAAAATGTATCACAGTTTTCAAACAAACTGCAGTCTTCAAAAGCACTGCAGTCTTCAATGACTTGCGGTATTACATGCAACTTTAAATTAAAACAGTTTTAAATGCAACACAGCTTAATGCTTCCTAGTAAAAGCACAACCGCATTATGTACCACAATCTTAAAAATAAGGTACAGCTGTATAATGCACTAGTTTAACCTCTTAAGGACACCTGACATGTGTGACATGTCATGGTTCCCTTTTTATTCCACAAGTTTGGTCCTTAAGGGGTTAAAGATATCAAAGCTTAAATGCATCACAGCATAAAAGCACAACTGCATAATGTACAACAGTAAAACAGCAAATAAAGTAATGACGATAAAACAACATACATGTCCGTAAGTAAAGGGAGCAAATTGCTCACGTCCTAAGGGCTGTAGGACAGGAAAAAGACTGAGGACCTTAGGGATGGAGCCTCCTTTTAAAACCTTAGGTTTTCCTGTCCTATCGGCTGTAGGGGAGGAGCTAACCCATGTGTATATGCTGCCATGATTAGCCAGGAGATATATATATATATATTACTGTGCATTTATATTTGTGTATATGAGTTCATGTGCATGTATGTATATGTACATGTGTTTATGCGTTCACATATACATATTTATGTGTGTGTGTGCATGTATAAAGTGTACCATCCTCTGCACTGTCTGCTTGTTTGTTTTTCTTCTCCCTCTCTCTCCCCTCACTCTGCTCTTCAGAAAGATATTTATGACTCTCTGCAAAAATGGTGTCTATTTTTGTACAAACCTGTGTCTTATCTACACTCATGTCGCTTTAACCCCTGTATCACAACTCAGCTTTGAATTCTATGTGTCGTCTTGCTCAGAAATGCTTCTGACTTGATAAAGGGCGGTCCTCCCGAAAGTTGTCATTAAAAAAATTCTGTTCGTCCAATAAAAAAGGTATTACAAGATACAAATTCTATCTGTTTTTTTCTTTCTCTCTCTCTCTCTCTCTCTCTCTCTCTCTCTCTCTCTATATCTATATCTATATCTATATCTATATATATATATATATATATATTTTTTTTTTTTTCTTTTTTTTTCTAAATGCACACCTATGTTTAGACTGTTCAGATTATCAAAGGCATTAATGAAAATGAAAAATATGTGACTAATACCAAAGGAATGGCAATCCAATTTTGGGTATCACTGAGTTAACTAGTGTAACAATGTTGGAACTCCGATCCTCCTGCACCATCCTTTAATCACCCCTCCTTGTTCACACCCATTTCTTCCTAAACCCTCCTATGACATATTACTGTGATTCCTCTTTTTGTTTTTGCACTAGTAACTCCAGACTCTCTAACATCATAGAGTAAGCAACTAGTCAGGTAAGGATGTGTCACTTTGTCCTTGTGAGATTAGAAGAAACAAGTATGTAACTAGCTGGAGGACAGAAGGGAGTGAGAAAGATGAATTAGCCTGTGACATACAAAGTTTTATTGGAATTTTAATTTTTATTATTTTTTTATAAATAGTGAGATTTTGAAAATTACACAACATAAGTACTGTAGTATTATGAAGCTCATGAAGAAAAATAAAGGGAAAGAAAAGGTAGTGGGAGAAATGATAGGAAAGAAAACGTGCAGGGTTAAAAATGCCAGTGTGTATGTGTCATGAAATAGCATGGTGAGGTTTGGAATTGCTCTAGCGGTAGTTAACTGAAAAGGTGAATTGAGGTAAAAATTGGAGTGTTGGTACAATGAGAGATTAGTGCAATGCAAAGATGGCAATTGTAAGAGGATGTACACATTTGAAGATGTACACATTAGAAGCTTGGATATTACAAAAAATTGCTGATTCAAGACTGGGATGAAGATAAAGTATGTGCGAAGGGGCTGGCTAAAAGATAAATGTACAAAGATTAAGAATTAGGCATGACAAGATAAGGAAACAGCCAAACATACTTCAGCTGCAATTATTTCCGTGATTGAGATGAGCCAGCAAGTTTTGTCTGACAAATCAATAAAAGTGGTGAATTGAAACCTAAACTGCGAACATTTGCAAGTGGTTTTCTATTTTTATTTATTTATTTATTTTTACAATTTTCTACTTTTTTAAAAGCCATGTCTAGATTTAAAGGCACCACACCTTATAAAGTTCCTTTTATTAGTCCGTGATTAGAGAATGCAGCCTATAGAGTTATTTATTAAAATGTCATATGTCAGACGTTTTAAAGTGAATTCAAATATATTTTTTTTCAAATCTTAATCCAAAATAGCTGTTAAACATTGCTGTCTTGTAGAATTATTGTTTGTCAGCTATTTTAGCCTGAATTTTTTTTATTCACTTAGAAAATTTGAGTAACTTGAGTGAATACCCTGTCTAAAAAAAATACCCCTCTGTTTTTTCAAGATTCTAGTCTAGGTTATAATCGACCGTTACAGCTCTTCTGATTTTTGCAGTTTTAGTCTACCACCTGTGCAAGTACTATATAACAAGTTAAGAAAATTTTGTCTGCACTATGCCATGTTTATTTAAATTATTTTTATAATATATTATTATTATAGTTGTCAACTATTTATTTTTGCAATCCCATAAATATGCAGGATAGTCAATCAGTATTTATGGGAATGTGTCAGATGTTGTTGTCCATTTTGTTTTTGCCTTTTTTCTAGTGGGTTGGGGAACGTGCATCTTTATTACCAAAACATTAACATTTATGTGCTTTATGCTTAACGATGTGAAGCTGTGCTCGTTCTAACAATGATGAATACAGCAATTGTAAAATTATTTCTTACTTGGACAGAATTCTATGTGTCCTTATGATGAGCGTGTTGACACTGAACGTGAAGACCGTTGATTATCAAATGTCTTTATGAAGAATCACCTCTAAAAAAGTGTCAGCCTGACAGCCCCCAGAGGTGACGCTTCAGACAAAGATAATTATTTCTATTCATCATGAAAGGACAATGTCTTACATTGTCAAAACAAGACCTTGTTTATGCAATAAAAACCATGTCATAAAATAAGGTTCAACGTGATTTTAAAAATTGGATTTGTTTTTTAAAAATAAATCTTTGATTTTAATCAGTTTTCTTATATGGTAAAGAATGTAGAATGCATTAAGTTTACTGCCAAAGATGGGGAATTACTGTTATTTATGCCCTTAAAATGTAGTTCCAGGTGCCAGGCAGGCATTAAATTTTTTTTTTTAATACTTATTTTATTTGCGCAGAGATAAACAACTAAGTGGTTCAATTAAGTGGTCTGGGTGCCAGGTCCATCTAGGATTAACCCTGCCTGCTGTGAACATAGCACTTTCAAAGAAACTGTTATGTTTACATATGGGTTAATCCAGCCTTTAGTGGCTGTCTCATTGTGAGGCGCTTCCTATGTGCCAGCGTCCATAGGAAAGCATTGAGAATGCTTTCCTATGGACTGACTGAATGCGTGTGCGGGTCTTGCCACACATGCGCATTCAGCCGATGACGTCCAAAGGAGGAGGAGAGTCCCCCGGTGCTGGAGAAAGGTAAGTGTTTAACCCCCTTCCTCCAACTACAGCCCGGCGGGAGGGGGGCCATGAGGGTGGGGGCACCCCCAGGGCACTATAGTGCCAGGAAAACGAGTTTGTTTTCCTGGCACTATAGTGGTCCTTTAAACATGCAGACTAGCACTGCCATATCAGCTGGTGCACACCAATTTTTAAACATATGATTACAGTAGTATGACATCAACATTGCACTTTTTGTGTATTATGGAAGGAAACCGGATTAACTTGTATGCCCACATGTCACAGCGATAAACTGTAAATACTGCTCGGTGTGATGGGAAGCATATCGGTGTGAGGCTTTCGGATGATAAGAACCACTGGGTCACATTATTAAAGGACCACTATAGGCACCCAGACCACATCAGCTTAATGAAGTGGTCTGGGTGCCAGGACCATCTTGCTGTAAACATAGCAGTTTCAGAGAAACTGCTATGTTTACATTAGGGTTAAGCATTGAGAAATGCTTTCCTATGGACTGACTGCGTGCGGCTCTTGCCGTGCATGCGCATTCAGCCGATGAGTCGGAAGAGGGAGGAGAGTTCCCCGGCGCTGGAGAAAGGTAAGTGTTTAACCCCTTCCTACCCCTAGAGCCCGGCGGGAGTGGGACCTTGAGGGTGGGCGGGACCTATTAACCCTATAGTGCCAGGAAAACGAGTTTGTTTTCCTGGCACTATAGTGGTCCTTTAAGTAAACACAAACAACTAACCAAGCTTAGACTAACCCCTGTGGAAGATTGAGACTTGCAAGGGCAAATTTAAAACAAAAGGGCACAATGCAAGGTGAAATAATAGTAGCTTATGAAGTTGTATGGAAGCATGTTGTGCCAGAGGATTATACTGGTTATGAATAATGAGAAAGTAAATGAGCTTCTAGCCATGCTTATAAATACACAAATAGGAGAGAAACTGATAATTAATCTAATTAACCAAGCTGATCAGGTCTATATAGGTAACGAGGGTTACTGTAAGCCTCATTGCTGCAACTGCTTATAGGCAAGATGCCATATGTGTGCTATAGAGCTACCCTTGAGAGTGAGCAATCTGCTAGCCGATACCCTGGTCTGGGATGCATAAGACAGGTAAACATATAGTCCGGGGGGTGATGACACCTTGGGTGTGATGTGAGGCCCTTCTCCTGCCCCAGGCCAGATTCAAGACCAACATAGTTGTGCCACTGGCTTGGGAGTCCAAAGAGACCAAGTCCAGCCCCAGAGAGGGGAAACAGAAGGCTTTGATGTTGCTGTATCGCTGGTGGCGGTAGGACCTCTGCCTATGTCGGTGATGTCGCGGGGTCTTGCCCCTTTTGGCTCTTGGCCTGAATGGGCTGATAATTGTAGCTGGTTTAGCTGGGGTAACTTGTTTGCCTGCATAATTCTCCCCCATCAGCCGGGCCCTTGCTCTCCCGAACCTCCATCTAACGAGGAGATGACGTGGCCGTCTGACGTGCCTCCAAGGCAGCCCAGAAATTATCTGTGAGCTCCTCCAGTTGCTGCCATGTTTGCTCCGTTAAACTGTGTGGCTTTCTCTCATGCTCACACGGGGTAAGTATAGTCGCCAACTAGTGCAGCTGTGGCTTGTACTGGGCTAGTGCAGGCAGAGAAAAGTTTGCCGCTATGAGTTGCCAGCTAGTGGAGACCAGGATAGCCCTGGAAACAGGACCCAAACCGCTGCTGCGTCTTCTTGCTATCGAACAGGGATGTCAGCCATCACTTCCACTCAGGTCTCGCTAGGCCATAATGTTACTTGGTCTGTTCTCCGGTCCTCCAGGGCACACTGTTGCGCCGGTAAGTATCTGTTAGCTTTTCTGCATCTCGAAGCTGATAAATCCATGGTGAGCTTATTTATAGTCTAATTAATGGAAATTCCGTAGGGAGCTCACCAGCCGCATGTCTACTGAATACGGCGGTCATGCAGTTTTTGGGAGGGACAGGGAGTGTGTGGCATATACCACCAGCAGGTACAAAACACAGTAATTGCTCCCTCATGGGATTCCTAGCATGCTCTGATTCACTGAGTGGCAGGACAGCATGGGACCAAATGCTCACTTACTAGACCACCAGCTACCAAGGCATTTAAACTAGCAAATGTTCATAGATATTATTTTGTATGTAAAGGTTGTAATTTGCGTGTCAAGCTTTTAGAAAGCCTTTAGATGGCTAACAAATTTTATAGTTGTATATCTATTGATGAGCCATAGGTGAAACGCACGTCATGGGTATTGACAGACACACCGTTGGAAGCTACCTAACTCCACATGTAACTACTGGCAATCTAACTTAAACTTTGCAACTATTTGAGTTGACAATAATCATCACGTTTTCAGAGTACATTCTGGCACACGGAAATTGACCACGAATGTTCTTTCCACTACCGTAATTCCTGTTGCAATTATTTTTAAGCGATAACCAAATACTTAAAGGGACTCTCCAACAATCCGTTTTCCTGGCACTGCAGGTCCCCTCTCCCTCCCACCACCCATCCTCGGTTGCTGAAGGGGTGAAAACCCCTTCAGTGACTTACCTGAGACCCCCTCCAATGTCCCTCGGCGGTGGTTTTGGGTCGCCGCCGCTCCTCCCCTTCCTCACGTCAGCCGGCAGGGGAGACTGATCCCTCCCGCCGGCTGAGGAGACCTAATGCGCATGTGCGTTAATGCCGCGCATGCGCATTAGAGCTCTCCATAGGAAAGCATTGAAAATGCTTTTCAATGCTTTCTTATGGGGAATTGAGTGACGCCTCAGAAAACCTGTGCTATGAAGCAGGAAGTGGCCTCTAGTCGCTGTTTAGTAGACAGCCACTAGGGGAGGACTTAACCCTGCAAGATAATTATTGCAGTTTATGAAAACTGCAATAATTACAGTTGCAGGGTTAAGGGTAGTGGGAGTTGGTACCCAGACCACTTCAATGGGCAGAAGTGGTCTGGGTGCCTGAAGTGTCCCTTTAAGTTGGGGGTTGGTGGGACCTAGCCGAGACTACCCAGAGACAGGCATTTGTTTAGGGGTGCCCTCGAGGGCACAGATTAGCAACTGTGAGCATTATCAACATATTTACTTTATTGATTTAAGTGTGAGACTTTAAACAATAATAGTTTTCTTGACACTGAAACTGTTCTCATTTACAATATTGGCTTTAGTGTTACTAATTCAGTAATTTAAAGAGTCATACTATAACAGACACAATTTATCAACCGACATTGTATCAAAATAATAGCTGGCACACTTGGAAACTGGATCCCTTCCAAATGCCTATTATATTTTGTTTCCCGTGGCTCTAGAGTGTTACTGAATGTTTTATAGTGTTGCTTCATTTAATCCTTTCAGTCACTGTCAGACTTAATCAATACCATAATATCAAATCCTGACTGATTGAGAGACAGCCTTACCAGCGAGGTACTGAGTTCATGGAATTGCTGTTCCATTTAAACTCTCTTTAGTTCTGCGTGATTTGATTCAAAACCATATCGTAAAATTAAGGCAGACTAAAAAGTATACTCACTCGCACTGTTTCGATACCAAGGCTCCACAGCAAAGCACAGAGAGTGTGATAAACTCACCTGCTCAGTATCCAAGCCTGATAGATGTTGTGACAGACACGGAGGGTTTTGCAACATCGATATAGTTAACTTTGGTTTTTCCAGATTTGATTATTACCATATAATCAAAGTTAGGCAGACTAAGAGATTAATTTACCCGCTCAGTAACTATGCTGACTCTGCTCTAAGACGAAGTCTAATATAATCGTAGTTCAGTAGTTTCCACTAATTTCCAGTAGGTGGAGTCTCTGACTAAGATGTAATCTATTTTTAATGTTAAATCGGTGGAATAATTCATGACAACTCACTGGTGTAGTAGGAATTTCTTTTATCAATTTATATAATAAAGGTTATGTTTTATACTAATTTAAATAATAAACCTTTTTTGGTTTATATTTCCACTCTTTTGGGACCATCTGGAATCTGTTCCCTTTCCCTCCCTACACTCCTGTGTTAAAAATCTTCCTTTTATATATATTTATTGCAGCATTTTTATTTGTGTTGGTAGGCATAAATAGTCTCACCCATGTAAAACATAAACTCCTTTTTCAGGATTGTTTTTTAGAATTCTAACATTCTTTGAAAGCTATAGGAACGCAATATGGCTTATATATGCAGATACTGTGTGTTCTGTGGTTTGTCCCCCCCACTTTCAAACACATTACCATGCACAGCCAGCAAACCTGACGTCATGATGGACAAGTAGAGTGGGCTGCTGCTTTAGTCATTTGGACAATTGGATTTTTGAAAACAGTCCAAACAATCCACAAACTTCATGTACGTACACACGCATAACACACAGACACAGCCAGCATTCATTACACACTACATACAGTCAGCAAACATCACACACCCATTGCACATAGCCAGCAAACCACATCCACCGGGATGCATACATAATTATTGGACTATATAATATTGCTATTAAATGTGATTTGTGTTGTCTGACACATTTGGAAGGAATTGTGAGTCCACAGTATTGGGTCAGAAGCAGGAAGTGTGACTTATATATGACATTTATAAATTGTAACAAATTCATAGACTCAATAATTATTTCTGTGGCAAGCACAAAGCAGAAAATAATAGCAGTTTTGTCATTTGTCTCAAACCCTATGGAAACGACATTTACAGCTCCTATAGGCAGTGGCGTACTAAGGGAGGGGGAGGCGGGGGCGGTCTGCCACTCACTAGGGGGGTGTCCAGGGCACACTTTCACAGGGGCTGCATTTCGTGAGAACAGAGGACCCTGCTGCTGGATGGGAAACTAGCATGGAGAGTTCTGGGCCCCTCTTTACTGCCCATCTATGCTGTGCCACCGGACCACCAGGAAATGTAGTGTGTGTCCCCTCCCTCGACACAGATAAGAATGGAGGGGGAGGACCCAGGTAAGAATAGAGGAGGACGGGACGGACAGGTGTCAGGAAAGAACAATACACACTGCTCACCTTCCCAGCACTTATTCCACACAACACCCACACTGCATCTGCATACACTACACACATACAATACACATAAGCTACATACACTATACCAGGGGTAGGCAACCTTTTAGCAGCACTGTGCCGAAATAAGATTGTGATGTCCCGTAGCGTGCCGGTCCTATTTGTTTTAAATTGAAGTGTGCATGTTGCTGTATTCTGCTTGTGTTATTTATACTGCAGTTGCTTTGTATGGTTGTATTTGTGCGTATATGAGCTATTATATTGTATATGTTCTTGAGTAGTTTGTGGTATTGTGTACCTATCAATGTCAGCTGTGTATGGGGGCTACTTGTGGAATTGTGTGTGTGTGTGTGTATGGATATATCAAAATGTGTGTTTCGTAGTGTGTATGTGTGGGGCTGTTTGGGGTATTGCATGTCAGAAACTGCATGTGGGGTTGTGTGCATGTATATCGATGGTCAGTGGTGTTGAGTTGCTGTGTGGGCTGCTATTATTTGTATAAGGGGAAGGTTATTCCGCAGCTCTGTGTATATCTAGCAGTGTGTGTGGCTTCCATATACATGTCAAGGGCAGGAGCTGCGATGGCTGCCGAGGGCTGCTCTACTATAGTGTGGATTCCCATTCACAAGTGCTGGGAGCAATTGATCTGAGAACCCTTCTTCTACATGCTGCAATGCATAAATTGAGGATTGTCCTTCACCACCTTTCGTATTGGCAGATATCTGAAGTTTCACTGGGACTCCTGATAGGCCAGAGCCTGTTTGGCTCTAGCAGCTTTGAGTGCCGTGCAAAAGCACCTCGAGTGCCGTGCATGGCACACGTGCCATAGGTTGCCTACCCCTGCACTATACACACAAGCTGCATTCACTATACATACACTATACACACACTGCATACACTATACACTACACACATACAATACACACAAGCTGCATATACTATACACATAAGCTGCATTCACTATACACAGTGCATACACTGCATACACTATACAATACATACATACAATACACACAAGCTGCATACACTATGCACACACAGCATCCACTATACAAGCGCACACTCTGCATCCGCTACGCAAACACACTGCATTCACTGTACAAACACACACTTATACATGTGTATCTGTTTGTGTGTCTGTTTTGGTGTGTCTGTGTATCTGTATGTATGTGTCTATCCGTATGTGTGCCTATTTGTCTGTATCTGTTTGACGGTGTTCCTATGTAACTGCATGTGTGTACCTGTATCTGTGTATCTGTATGTGTACCAGTGTGTTTGAGTATATGTGCATACATCTCAGCAGTTCGCCTACACTACACACAACTACAACCCTGCATCTAAATGTCAACACTACATAAAAAGACACCACCATATTCAAAAACCACACTACAGAAAAATTCGCACCTGCATTCAAATGACAATACGTGCAAACACACCAATAGATTCAATCACACATACTCCATACAAAAACATGCTTACATTAAAAATATACGAACACTGCTTAGTGCTAAATACATAAAAAAAAATTGCAGGTGTTTTTTACATTTTAAAGTTGGCGGTGGGGGGGAAGGGGAGAAGTGGTGCCAAATATAGGATCCGCCCCGGGTGCCAAATGCTCCAGGTACGGCCCTGCCTATAGGTACACCTCTCCTCCGCCTAGGGCACCTCCAGACCAGCTTTAAAACTGGAAGAAGATTGCAGCAGATATTAATCTGATCTCATGCAAAAGTGTGCTTACAAGGGGGAAGGTCTAATTCTGAGAAAGTCACCATATTTCCTTGCTGGAGCCCCTTGGACAGAAGATATTATTTCTGTAATGTCTACCATAACTGGTTGAAAATAAAAAGGAGAAATTAACAGAAAAATAATTAACCATTGTGTAATCATTTGTTTGTCATCTGTTTGTTGTATGGACTGTGACTTGCTTGTTCAAAATAAATATTCCTTTATTAAATTCTGCTTTTGTTCTGTAAAAAATGACGTAACCCGATTAAGGCACGTTAACAGTCATTTTGTATTGCACAGATAACGTGCTAAATCATATTTTGTGGGTTGTTATTCTAATTTGCTTGGGGGACCAAAGCTTTCCATTTATTCCACTGCGCTGCTCACCTTTCTGTCTCCTAGAACCTCGTTGAGGCATGGCTTCCTCGCTATGGTCCTCATGGAGGAGCATTAGGGACCAGATATGCACACGCTCGAAGCAGGGCCGGACTGGCCCACCGGGATACCGGGAAATTTCCCGGTGGGCCGCGGCATCTGGGGGCTGCGCTGCACATGTGTGTCACCGGGTGGCCGGTCCGGTGGCACACACTCTGAGGGGGCCGGTGGGCTGGCGGCTGCATTCCACTCTGGAGCCGCCGGGCCGGGTGGCAGCCTGACCGGTCCGGCGGCCCTCCTCCTGTCACTAATGGCTGAGGAGTGAGGGAGGAGCATGTCTCTGTACCATGCTCCCTCGTGGTTCCTGTTCTGGGGATTGTGGGAGCCGCGAGGGAGCATGGTACAGAGACATGCTCCTCCCTCACTCCTCAGCCATCAGTGACAGGAGGAGGGCCGCCGGACCGGTCAGGCTGCCACCCGGCCCGGCGGCTCCAGAGTGGAATGCAGCCGGCCCCCTGACTCTCTCAGGTAAATGGGAGGGGGAAGATGGGGAATAAAGAGACACAAGGGAGGGGGGATATAAAATAGAGGGGGAAAGAGACAAAGGGGAGAGAAATGTGGGGGAGAGACAGGGAAAGGGTGGGAGAAAGAGACGGGGAAAGGATAGAGACACACAAGGGGAGGGGGAGAAAGAGACAGGGGGAAAGGATAGAGACACACAAGGGGAGGGGGAGAAAGAGACAGGGGGAAAGGATAGAGACACACAAGGGAGGGGGAGAAAGAGACAGGGGGAAAGGATAGAGATACACAAGGGGAGGGGGAGAAAGAGACAGAGGGGGAAAGGAGAGAGACACACAAGGGGAGGGGGAGAAAGAGGCAGAGGGGGAAAGGAAAGAGATGCACAAGGGGAGGGGGAGAAAGAGGCAGAGGGGGAAAGGAGAGAGACACACAAGGGGCGGGGGAGAAAGAGGCAGAGGGGGAAAGGAGAGAGACGCATAAGGGGAGGGGGAGAAAGAGGCAGAGGGGGAAAGGAGAGAGACGCACAAAGGGAGGGGGAGAAAGAGGCAGAGGGGGAAAGGAGAGAGACGCGACAAGGGTTGTGGGAGAAAAGAGGCAGGGGAAAGGAGAGAGACGCACAAGGGTTCTGGGAGAGAGAGGCAGAGGGGGGAAGGCAGAGACGCCAAGGAGGGGGAGAAAGAGGCAGAGGGGAAGGAGAGAGACTAATAAGGAGGGGGGAGAAAGAGGCAGAGGGGGAAAGGAGAGAGACGCACAAGGGGAGGGGGAGAAAGAGGCAGAGGGGGAAATGAGAGAGACGCACAAGGGGAGGGGGAGAAAGAGGCAGAGGGGGAAAGGAGAGAGACGCACAAGGGGAGGGGGAGAAAGAGGCAGAGGGGGAAAGGAGAGAGACGCACAAGGCAACAGGGCAATTCCCCCCCCACGAGGCTCTCCCCTGCCAGCCAATCTCCCTCCCCGTTCCACAGGCACCGTGCGGCACACAGTGCCCCCCATACACACACTGCCCCCACACACACCATACATATTCACACACTGCCTCCCATACACACATTGCCCCACACACCCTACACATTCACACACTACACCCCCCTCACACACATACACTGACCCTTTCACACACACTGCACCCCTCACACATTGCACCACTGCTCCTATACCCTACTACAGCCCCATATCCCAGCAGACCCCATATAAGTTGTCAAACTGTTCTTAAACGGTTTGACTACTTACTCTGGGAGGGGGTCCCGGCACTCCTGGCACCATAACCACTACAGAGAGCAGTAGTGGTTATTGTGCATGGATTATTTCTTTAAATAATCTACAAGTGCCCCTCCCGGGATCAGGCTCTGGATCCACCACTGGTATATGACATGTATATTAATGTGTATTAGTTTTATTTATTTATATATATATATAATATATATATATATATATATATATATATGTGTGTATGCCTATTATATTTACACATATATTAATGTACATTTATATACGCATAATACACAGATAAATGTCATTAATATGTACCATTTGTAATGAGCAGATATTGTCTGTCTTGTTGCTAGATGCAGACTCCATCACAATAACATATTTAAAGTGAAGAGCGCACCCACAGAACTTCAAAATAAACAAGATAACTTCATTTTTTTACAGTTGTGCCCTACGTACATTCACCATTTCAGTCCCATTACCAAGCTTTCCTTAATATGTCAAGGTAGTTGGACTGAAACATTGATTACATGCAAAGGCACGTCTGCTTAAAATAAATCTGCACTTTTGTTTATTTTGAAGCCCATGAGTGCGCTTTTTACGTTGAAGTACTTTTTAATTTTAAGTTCTCTTTTCTAAGTCTGTATCTGCACACTATGCTGGCGCGACGCATTATGGGGCTGGTAAATATTTTTTTTCCAGGGCTGCTTTTAATTCCCAGTCCGGCCCTGGCTCGAAGATTTCCCCATAAGTAAGCATTGGGTCTTTAACGCCTAAGTTATGCACATCACAGACCCTAAATAAAACGAGCAGGAAATGCATACTCAAAAATACAAGGACTCCTTTATTCCAAATGTTAAATTCACAGGTAGAACAAGGGTGAATGTTCAATAAAAGTGTTGTAGAACTTATAAATAACAACATAATAATATCTTGTATCAGACATTTAATCATTGAGAAATTGCTTAAGGACAGAAAAAGCTGTCCAGTTGATGTTTTTTAATGAGATTCTTAAAGGAACACTATAGTCACCTAAATTATTTCAGCTAAATAAAGCAGTTTTAGTGTATAGATCATTCCCCTGCAATTTCACTGCTCAGTTCACTGTCATTTAGAAGTTAAATCACTTTGTTTCTGTTTTTGCAGCCCTAGCCACGCGTCCCCTGGATATGATTGAAAGAGCCTGCATGAAAAAAAAAACTGGTTTCACTTTCAAACAGATCTTATTTACCTTAAATAATTTTATCTCAATCTCTAAATTGAACTTTAATCACACACAAGAGGCTTTTGCAGGGTCTAGCAAGCTATTAACATAGCAGGGGATAAGAAAATCTTAATTAAACAGAACTTGCAATAAAGAAAGCCTAAATAGGGCTCTCTTTACAGGAAGTGTTTATGGAAGGCTGTGCAAGTCACATGCAGGGAGGTGTGACTAGGGTTCATAAACAAAGGGATTTAACCCTTAAATGGCAGAGGATTGAGCAGTGATACTGCAGGGGCATGTTCTATACACCAAAACTGCTTTATTAAGCTAAAGTTGTTCAGGTGACTATAGTGTCCCTTTAAATATCCAGGTGAATGGAACTATGAGAAAACGGTTACTCTGTTTTCTCTGAGAATTAAAGGGATCCTATAGTGCCAGGAAAACAAACCTGTTTTCTTGGCACTATAGGCGCCTGGAGTACCCCCTTCCCTCAGGGCCCTGCTTCTGCGGGGCTAAAGGGGTTAAAACCCCTTCAGCCACTTACCTGAACCCAGCGCTGAGTCAGACTCCACCCACGCTCCTTCCCCGCCGACGTAGGCCGGTGGGGTTGACCGAATGCGCGTGGTTTGTTTTCAATGCTTTCCTATGGGGAAAATCTGACGCTGGAGGTCTTGCGTCAGATAACGGACCAAAAGTCAGTTTGGATTCCGGAAGCTCTCTAGTGGCTGTCTGTTAGATGGCCATGGAGGGCAGCCTTAGAACTGCAATGTAAACATTGCAGTTCCAGAGAAACTGCAATGTTTTACATCGCAGCACTAATCGAAAAAGGGTCACAGCACCCAGACCACTTCAATTAGCTGAAGTGGTCTGGGTGCCTACAGTGTCCCTTTAACCATAGTTTAGCATGCAGTATTTTGTATATTTATCCTCTATACAGTTATAACATTGCTTTTTGCAACACTTGTACTATTAAGATTTTTTACATGTTCAGGGTTATTCACTAAAGTGAGAATTCAAAGTGATTTCAAAGAGAAATTTAGGACAAAGTAGCCGAACTGGAAGCATAGCTGAATTAGATAATTTTTCCAATTAAGCTGTTTTGGCCTTAATTATCAGGGTTATTCACTAAAGTGAGTATTTAAATTTAGAATTTATTTCAGTTGTGAGCAACACAACTACTGTTTTGCGGGTGTGCATTTTACATACAAATAAAATTTGTTGAAAACAAAATCTGGCTTAAATAATGTTAAAAAATGGTTAATTTAAAAATACTATATTTTGGGGCATGTCCCAACCTTCATGGTGATTGGACATGTGTGAGCAGAGCTCTTACAAATTGAGTCCTATCATCCCAATCCAGCAACATCCACAGCTCCACACCACTCTATTCCTGTCCTCTAACACAGTCACTAAGGAAGACCTTCCTGCATACCTTACTGGTCTATTCCATTCCCTGCTGCCAGATATGCTTAAGGAGGATTGGCACTTAGACAGGATGCACAGGATACCAAGACCTAAAGGTTTGCGAGACTGCACCTAGGGACACCATAGTCTGATTACACTGCTATCAGAACAAGGAGGCTATAATGGGGGCCTCTAGAAAGTCTTCCCTGAGCTATTTCATGCAGTTACACCATGGTATACTCTCAAAACCATCTTCCCGTTTTCTTGCTTTTCTGAGTCACTCTATTCCTGTTATGTCTGTCAATGGGTAAATAGTTTATCAACTTTCTGACACATTGTAAGATTATGGACAAAAAATGTGAATGCTTTCTTATTCTCTAACTGCACAGACTTCTGTTTTGTATAGTCTTATTGAACTGGAAATCCTTGATTGTTTGTACTTCTTATCTGAATTTTGTGCCATGCTTCATATTATTATTCATTATATTTTGTATTTCAATAAAAATTATACATAATAAATAAAAATATTCTTATTTGTAATTGTTTTTCCAACCCTGGAATGAGCCAACATTGGGGATATTGGGAGTTAAATTTATCCTGAAAAGTGTTTTTTATGGTGCCACCTGTGCATGTAATGTCATTTTTTTAAGCTGTGCGTGCGGTTATGTGAAAAACTGTACAATTAATCAAATATAGATTTGTCTATGATCCTGAGGAAAGAGTGGGGTCTCTTTTTTTTTTTTTTTACACATTACAATATTAAAACCACATATACTTTTCAAGACCAGGAGTGCACAATGTGGCCGATCAACGTTTCAACCCTGCAGGTCTTTTTCACATGATCTTGAAAAAGAACCGCGGTCTCGAAACTTCGATCGTCTACATTGATGTAATTTTGTTGTGTTTTTTTACACATTAAAACCACGTATACCCTTCAAGACCAGGAGTGCACCCTTTTTCTTCGTTATTTATATATTTTTGTGGGTTTAAGCACCTTGGCTTCATATTTTTAATTCATATGCTGGGAGTGTGCCAAGTCTATTCTGACATATATATAAAGCGCTACGGAATCTGATGGCGCTATATAAATAATAAAAGTAACTCCAAGTCAATCACACTTCTGTGAAATCAAACTGTCCACTTAGGAAGCAACACTGAGTGACAATCAATTTCACATGCTGTTGTGCAAATGGGATAGGCAACAGATGGAAATTATAGGCAATTAGCAAGAAACCCCCAATAAAGGAGTGGTTCTGCAGGTGGTGACCACAGACCACTTCTCATTTCCAATGCTTCCTGGCTGATGTTTTGGTCACTTTTGAATGCTGGCAATGCTTTCACTCTAGTGGTAGCATGAAACGGAGTCTACAAACCACACAAGTGGCTCAGGTAGTGCAGCTCATCCAGGATGGCACATCAATGTGAGCTGTGGCAAGAAGGTTTGCTGTGTCTGTCAGCGTAGTGTCCAGAGCATGGAGGTGCTACCAGGAGACGTGGAGGAGGCCGTAGGAGGGCAACAACCCAGCAGCAGAACTGCTACCTCCACCTTTGTGCAAGGAGGAACAGGAGGAGCACTGCCAGAGCCCTGCAAAATGACCTCCAGCAGGCCACAAATGTGCATGTGTCTGCTCAAATGGTCAGAAACAGACTCCATGAGGGTGGTATGAGGGCCCGACGTCCACAGGTGGGGGTTGTGCTTACAGCCCAACACCGTGCAGGACATTTGGCATTTGCCAGAGAACACCAAGATTGGCAAATTCGCCACTGGCACCCTGTGCTCTTCACAGATGAAAGCAGGTTCACACTGAGCACATGTGACAGACGTGACAGAGTCTGGAAACGCCGTGGAGAATGTTCCGCTGCCTGCAACATCCTCCAGCATGACTGGTTTGGCAGTGGGTCAGTAATGGTGTGGGGTGGCATTTCTTTGTGGGGCTGCAGAGATGAGATCCTCAGACCCCTTGTGAGACCATATGCTGGTGCGGTTGGCCCTGGGTTCCTCCTAATGCAAGACAATGCTAGACCTCATGTGGCTGGAGTGTGTCAGCAGTTACTGCAAGACAAAGGCATTGATGCTATGGACTGGCCCGCCCGTTCCCTTGACCTGAATCCAATTGAGCACATCTGGGACATCATGTCTCGCTCGATCCAGCAACCACAGACTGTCCAGGCAGTTGGCAGTTGCTTTAGTCCACGTCTGGGAGGAGATCCCTCAAGAGACCGTCCGCCACCTCATCAGGAGCATGCACAGGAGTTGTAGGGAGGTCATACAGACACATAGAGGCCACACACACTACGGAGCCTCATTTTGACTTGTTTTAAGAACATTACATCAAAGTTGGATCAGCCTGTAGTGTGTTTTTCCACTTTAATTTTGAGTGTGACTCCAAATCCAGACTTCTATGGGTTGAAAAATTTGATTTCCATTTTTTAATTTTTGTAAATTTTGTAGTCAGCACATTCAACTATGTAAAGAACAAAGTATTTCAGAAGAATAATTCATTCAGATCTAGGATGTGTTATTTTTGTGGTCCCTTTATTTTTTTGAGCATTGTATATATAATGTTTCAATGGAATATATGGTATAGCAACAACAGATGATACATCAGAAAAATGTATGACCCATCACCAACCTGACATCTGTCTAGCTCTTATAACAAGCATGTAGGAGGCATGGCAAAACTTTGAGCCGAATGGTAGCATACTAGCGGAGCTCTGCCTCCATGGGCACTAAAAATTGACTAAAACTAAAAGATACTGAAGAAACAAGCCACAATATGTCTCAGCATCGCTGCAAAACTAATGTGGAGTCTAAAGACAAAGCAGCCTTCTTTACCGCCCGCACTCCGCAAACCAAGCAAACGGACCTACAGGCAAAGATGGCACCGACTCCAACACAGATGGGGACCAAACTGGAGGATCAGCCCGGCAAGCCGAAGGCCCACTTACCAAGTACCTACTCCAGACAAGACTGGATGAAGTAGTGCACAAGATGCAAAACACCGTTACAACAGCCTTGGCTGAGCCTGAATGAGACATTACTGATCTGGGTACACGTACCTCACAAATGGAGGAGAAAATGGAGGACTTCGCTTCAGAGCACAACACTATGGCAGATAACTTCGAAAGGCTGGATGACCTCCTATGAATCCAAACTTATGGATATGGAGGACATTACTGCCACAATAAGGTACAGCTATTAAGAGCCAATCAGAACAGAAAGGAAATCCCTGAGAAATTCAAGGACTTACAACTGTTCATAGACTTGTCGGTGGAAACTTTGTGACGCAGGCGCTCCTACAGAGAAATCACAGAAACGCTGCACGAAGACAACACCCCCAACTGCTGGGGGATCCCTGCAAAGCTGTAAGCTGGGGATGATGCAATCCTGACCATGGTAAAAGCCATTGCATATAGTAGTGATACTGTTCGTAAAGTCACGTGTCCGTCGTGGGAGGTTTTCCTGGTATGGGCAAAGTGTAGCTGTGTGGCGCTAGCATCTCTGCCTGAATGTCACCGGGGTTTATATTCAATAAAGTAGTGAGATTAATACTTCTGAAAATATAGAGTAATATAAAATGGTGAAACCGTCAGAGCCTGGTGCCTTATGTTTGCGTAAACTATGTATGGCTATTTTTGTAGAATGTGTCAGCGCTTAAAAAACAAAATCTATCCTTAATAGTTATAAAAGGAAAAGTTAATGATATAAAACCAAATATTCTTGTGGGTGTAATATTAATACACCTGCACGATAGTGAATATGTTTTGATAAAATAGATTCAATGGGTACCTGATGTCATTGTCAGGAATAAGGTGGTGTTGATAATCCACAGCTTAATATTGCAGATTTGGTGTAGCAAAAATTACTATAACTGGGATATAATCAAACACAGTTTATTTGCAAATAGAAAAAGTCTTATTCGTGGAAATAAAAATATAACAAGACAAAGTAATACAAAAATATATCCAAAAGTAGTATAAAATCGTAGCCACTAATAAGTCCAGCACAGACAGTTGAGCAGTTGTTCCATTGAAGCAGCTATAGTAGTGGAAAGTTCTCTCTTTAAGCCGCCCAAGGAATAATACAACTGGAGGGACATAGGAATCTCAGACCGCTGGACAATACTGAAGATGCAGGATAAATAAGTGAAGAGATGGATCCTCAGCTCATCAACTTGTTTCACTCGTGCTTGGCGGGCTTTTTCAAGATAGTGAAGGATCCATGTGTCATAGCATATATACCCTATAGGATCGTGATGCCTGTTAAGACTTCTTAAGGGTACATACAATTTTCTGTGGCAGAACTTTTCATTAGAGTTCAGCAAACCCGGCACCTACTGTCCTCCCCACCCCTGAGCAGTGGGTGGGGGCCCTAAATAAGATTGGGGGGGACACCAACTGTCCTCCCCCTCCGGCCCCACCCCTGCGTGGTGGGTGGGGGCCCTAAATAAGATTAAGGGGGGGGACCTACTGTCCTCCACCCCTGCACGGTGGGTGGGGGCCCTAAATAAGATTGAGGGGGGGCCTACTGTCCTCGCCCCCACCCCTGCGTGGCAGATGGGGGCCCTACTTAACAATGAGGAGGGGGGACCTACTGTCCTCCTCTGGCCCCCAAACTGCAGTAAAGCATATTCTGTGAATGCAGATGATATAATCCCTTTAGGACGGCAGGCGTACTATGCGGTCCTTGAAGGGGTGGACCTAAATGCCAGAGTAAAATATTTTATAAATAAATATATATAATTTGTATATATCTACTTATAACAAAAAAAGTAGGTAGCCAGCACTAAAGGTCTTGTGAAGAAAAATTAATTTAATCAGTTCATCTCATAGAACTTTTAATCAGGACATAATATCAAAAGAAATAACAAAGCCACTATATATGAAGAAACAAACTTACCAAACCCCAATCACCTATGTGTGAGCATCTAACCTTCCTCCATGCATCTACATGCCCTGTAGAACCTCCCCCCATGACATCATAGCATGCCGTGCCTACGGAACTGTTACCCTGGTGATGTGAGTAAACATGAAACGTTAACCGATTGTGGAATCTTTGTATTATTAAATTCATTTTTCATCAGAAGACCTTGAGTGCCGGCTACCTACTTTTTGGTATATATCGTGCAGCCGAGCACCGGGCAGAAAGACTGGGAAGCTGGAGTGCAAAACCTACAAACTGTGTGTGTATGTATCTAATATATGTATGGCAAAAGGAACCTCACTCCAGGGACTTTGTTCAAACTTAAAGTAAAACTTCACTTTTATTTAATCCATTAAAAATGTTGATGTTTCAGCTCCCACACAGAGCTTTCATCAGGACAGACAATAAAATAAAAGTGTACAAATACCTGAATATATACCCCTCGACCATGTAGTAATTAAACGTGGGAGAAATCTAAGAGGTCTTCTAGTTAAAACCGATCCAGCAAACTGTTACACCAAAAACAAGCCACATAGAATATGGGTTGTTATCGTTGCCTAGGCTGTGTTACATACAGCCACATGATACCGTGAAATTTTTTTATGCACCCTGCTGCTTTGCTGCGTCAGGACCTGGACGGATTGCTATCATCGAAGGAAAAATGAATTCCCAAGTTTATCAAGACATTTTGCAGGAGAACTTAAGGCCATCTGTCTACCAGCTGAAGCTCAACAGAAGATGGGTGTTGCAACAGGACAATGATCCAAAGCATAGAAGTAAATCAACAACAGAATGGCTTAAACAGAAGAAAATACGCCTTCTGAAGTGGCCCAGTCAGAGTCCTGATCTCAACCCGATTGAAATGCTGTGGCATGACCTCAAGAAAGCGATTCACACCAGACATCCCGAGAATATTCCTGAACTGAAACAGTTTTGTAAAGAGGAATGGTCAAGAATTACTCCTGACCGTTGTGCACGTCTGATCTGCAACTACAAGAAACATTTGGTTGAAGTTATTGCTGCCAAAGGAGGTTCAACCAGTTATTAAATCCATGTGTTCACATACTTTTTCCACCTGCACTGTGAATGTTTACATGGAGTGTTCAATAAAAACATGTCAACATTTCATTCTTTGTGTGTTATTAGTTTAAGCAGACTGTGATTGTCTATTGTTGTGACTTAGATGATGATCAGATCACATTTTATGACCAATTTGTGCAGAAATCCATATCATTCCAAAGGGTTCACATACCTTTTCTTGCAACTGTATCTATCATTTTGTATGTCTTTTATTATTACCCATCTTGAGCCATGAGACATATTTATGGAGTATGAGTAGCGCTTGGAGATTAGCGAAAGTGAGTGCTGGGGAGATATTAAGTTACTATGCTCAGGGATATCGGAGTGGGCTGACAGCCTAAGCTCTCCTTTACTTAAAAGAATATAATCGCTATTTTTGAAAATGGATATCTGTGAGGCTAAAATTGTATTACATTTAAAGGGACTCTCCAGTGCCAGGAAAACAATTCATTTTCCTGGCACTGCAGGTACCCTCTCCCTCCCATCTCCCAATCCACGGTTGCTTAAGGGGTGAAAACCTCTTCAGTGACTTACCAGAGGCAGCGACATATCCCACGTCGCTGCTTCTTCTTCCACCGCCACTCCTCCTCTTCATTATGTCAGCCGGTGGGCGAGGCTGATCCCGCCGGCAAGGGAGACCTAATGCGCATGCGTGGCAATGCCGCACATGTGCATTAAAGCTCTCCATAGGAAAGAATTGAAAATGCTCTTCAGTGCTTTCGTATGGGGAATTGAGCGACGCTGGAGTTCCTCACACAGCGTGATGACGGCCAGCGACGCTCTTGCACAGGTTTTCTCTGCTATAATCCAGGAAGTGCCCTCTAGTGGCTGTCTACCCCCCACTGAATTCCATGCTACCACACTTCAAGCCTAACTACTCTTCCTGCCTTTACAAATGGACTGTACCAAATACCAGGGCATCACTAGTGGCCATTTCACAACTCCAACATTATGGTATGCTTATCCTTATGTTCGTTCCATACATCTGTACCCCTCATAGAGCCCTATTTCTCCACCCAGCAGCTCAGGACTACTGACATTGAGTATTCTGCCTTCTGCTACGTTACCTCTACACACGGCTCTCACTCCATTTAGCATATCCAATCCTCTTCGTTCTGTCACTATTTTAACTGTTAACTTGCTAGTTCTGGTATATCGTTTCATCTAGTATGCTATGGGATTCGATTATGTGGTGGTTGTCTATTTTTCAGGGTGTCCTTTCTCATACATACTTCAGGTCCTTCTAGTGGAACGATGTGCAGTGGGAACTCAGGCCTACATTCAGTGCATTAGGTATACAGCATTCGAGGTAACCTGTTCATTTTCAGTTACAATGTTATGTTTTGATATGCCTTTCTGTCACAATGCCTATTTGCTCCAAACTTGTGGCTGTTTATTGTCAACTCGATACATCGTGATTGTACCCTCGCCTTGACATATACTCAACATGTTGATCAATTATTCCAGCAACCTACTTTTATGGCCTCTTACATATCGAAACACACTAGGAGCATACCAGTATGTCATGTCTCACCAGGTATACTTCATACTGACCACTGCATGTATAGTCACCTGGTTCACTTATTATACAGTTCAATTTCCTTTGGTTAGTTGGTATCAGATATCAAGAGTGTTATTTGTTTTGGGCTCATTGCATTTACTTTACCTACCTTACCAGCAATCTTGCCGTTGCATTTTCACAGTGTTGTCATAGTTCTGGATTATGAAATCCCTAGTGGGATTTAGGTTTTGGACCTCTGTACACATTTTCTTTTGCCTATACCTTTTTATTCACTTATGCTTACCATCAACTTGGCCAGGGTATGTCTAATCATACCACCGTTTTTTTGTTTTTTTTCCTTTCGCTTTTACGTTTTTCAAGTCACCATGCAATCGACTCGCTATATGATACTACCTCCCTTCTTACAACAACCACTCGCTCTACACAACTTATGTTTAGCTTGCAAAAACAATATCAAAACACAAAAAATAAAATAATTTGTGTTTACACAAAATAATATATAGAACTTAACTTAATGACAGTTTCCCTCGGCAACCTTCCCACACGGATGCCCAATCAAACAGGAATGTACAAACAAATAGGGTGATACAGCTGTTGTGACCTAAAAAACAATTAACAACACATAGTGTAATAAAGTATTAGGCATGTATAAAAACACTACTGGAAGCACTCCCAGAATGTAAAAGTTCAAAGCGCCTTAAAGATGCCACCCCTAATCCTTTATGCGGGTTCAATCGAAATCCACCTCACTTCTTGGGAACACAGGAACCAGAAGGAAGCAGGAATCAAAATATAAAAAGCATAGAACTTCCTCAGGGTCCTCTTCAGTTATAAAACAAATTACTTGTGCAGTACAAATATGCAGTATGAAAAACCCACTTAAATCCCACCCTCCCACTGACCCAATATATAGGGCTCCTCTCCTCCGTCATTGGTGGTATGGTGGGTGTGTTCCTGATTAGTTCCGTAATTGGAATTACCATCATGTTCCTCAATTGCTTGATGCCGCTCGTACCGCTCAGCTGTTCGATCTCCCCATTCCCGGATGTGATGTTTGCGTTACACGGAACACTTCCGTGTGTTCCAAAGACGTCACTTCCCCTGTATGTATAATGAATAGTTGCTCATGTGTCGTGATGAAATTTCCTCACTTAGTCTCATAACGGTATGTTAAGAGTCCTCATTAATAGAGAAATCAAATGATGTCAGTGGGGAAAGGAACACTACAAGGAGAGAGATTTGTTAGAACCTATCATTGGTATGAATCATATACATGTTGGTGGAAATAATAAAAAATAATAAAACTGTACAACAGCTTAATCCTTATTCTTAAAAAAATCTGAATTTATCTGAGTGCTTTGGAAATTTTGAAATACATATTCACAAAGTGTGTCAAAAACACCATAGATTGTTTATATTAAATGTATTAAATAATAATCCCACATATCTAAAATAAACAATATAACCATTACTAATAAAACATATTTTAAATGAAACAAATCAAATCTATATCCTTATTTAACCCCTTTGGCTCCAGTGTCTGTAGCCTATGTATCCAATAAGTTTCCCTTTGGGATAGCTTTTTTTACTATATCTCCTCCTCTCCAACGGTCTGGCTGTTAGGGTTTCCTAAGGGGCCATAGTTAGTTTTCGGCTTCTTGTGCCATTATTTAGCAGTCTTCCAAGGCCAACACCCATCCTCAACTACGGAGGTATTCGCCCCTCAGGCCAAACCATAGTTACTGCCTCGCGTGTCTGCCTTTTTGGCAAAAGCAGTTAGGGCCTCACCTGTCACTGCCAACTTATTTTGAATCTCTTTAAACCTCACCGAGAAGCCAACACCCCACCACAATGCTCGGTGGCAAACGTACCCAATGGGCCAAATCATAGGTAGAGCCTCTCATCACCACTTGGCAGCTAGTAAGGTTCCCAAGTCACCACTTTAGCTTAATTGTTTCGCCACTTGGCATAACATAGGTCAGCCAGTGTCTTGGTGTTATACAGTATCTCCCACTAACAATATTTTTCTTTCAGGTATGGTTATAAATGCTGATATATTGTAAAATTTACCTGCCAGGTGTATGTCTAATTGTGCCACATTTTATTGTTTCGCATTTACGTTTTTCAAGTCACCACATAAGTGACTCACTTTACGATACTACCTCCCTTCTTACTACATCCACTCGCTCTACAGAACTTATCTTTAGCTTGGCCTGGCTGTGAGGGTACCCTAAGTGGCCATAGGTAGTTTTTGGCTTCTTGTGCTATTAGTTAGCTGTCCCGCAAGGCCAAATCCCATCCTCAACTACGGAGTTATTCGCCCCTTGGGCCAAATCATAGTTATTGCCTCACATTTTTGCTCTTTTGGCAAAAGCAGTTAGGGTCTCATCTGTCACGGCCAACTTATTTTGAATCTCTTTAATCCTCACAGAGAGGCCAACACCCCGCCGCAACGCTCAGTGGCAAACGTACCCAACGTGCCAAATCATCGCCACTTGGTAACTAGTTAGGTCCCAAAGTCACCAATTTAGCTTAATTGTTTCGCCGCTTGGCATAACATGGGTCAGACAGTATCTTGGTTATAAATGCTGATAAAAATGTAAAGTATTGATTGCGTAATGTTGACGCGTATTAAAGTGTTAAACTATTAACTTTTTACCCTCTTTTTACAGGCCTACCTGAAGAGACACAAAGAAAAAAATGTATATATAAAAAACAGATGTTAAATACATAATAGTAAATAAAATTAGCGAAATTTATTTAAACAGTTGGTTTAAAAAAAAAAAAATATCACATTTATAATATGTTATATGTCCTTTATATAAATATTATCTGTATCAAAAAGGGAACCAATTTTTCAGTGTGTTTAGTTTGAGAGTGTGTGTTCACCATGAAAGCTTTGGTCTACTGACTTATCTGACCAACTGCTGCTCATCCTAACTCGCCTGCTGCGGCAGTTTCACACAGAGCAATCACAGCAGCAGGTACAAGCTACTGTTGTTAATGGTAACAGCTTGTGACTGGTATTTTGTTTGTTGGTTTCCATGGTGATTCTTCCTTATTTTCTCTTTGGCCCAGAATAGCACCTATTTTGTCTCTATAAATATTCTATTTTTATTAAATAACGTCTTAAAATTGTGGCATCAGTTTGGCTCTAGTTGAACTGGCTTGTAAATCTTTGTTCTACTATCTTTTACTAATATATGTCTTTTTAAAAAAAAAAAAACTAATTTCTATATTTTCTTTATTTCTGACAGAATAAAAATGAGAAAGCATTTAATGAAGGTGGAAGGCCTAATTCTTCTGTCCGTGGGAGTTCTGGGCATTTTCTTCATCTTGCTAGGATATGAAAATGGGCCACAGTTGGAAAAGAAACATCTGAAAATCATTGACTTTCCCACCTACTCCATTCCTAACCTCCCTCATCTGTCCTCGATACAGGGAATTTCTAAGTGCCAGGTAAACACTTCAGTGGAGAGTATGATTGGTTTTTCCAGTTTACCTGAACATATTAAAGACTTTTTGAGATATAGGCACTGTAAGGCCTTCCCCCAGATTCTTAACTCCCCTATGAAATGTGGAGGTCCAGCAGAATCACACAAGGTCTTCCTACTACTGGCTGTGAAATCTTCCCCTGGGAACTATGAGAGAAGAGCCATCCTTCGTCAAACATGGGGGATAGAGCAGACCTATTCTGGTGCCCATGTGAAAATAATATTTCTTTCTGGCACTGCAAGTAATAATAAGGCGGACAAGAGAATGAAAAAGTTGTTAGAAATCGAAAGTCAGACATACAGGGATATTTTGCAATGGGACTTCAAGGATACCTTCTTCAATCTGACCTTAAAGCAGTTTTTGTTTCACCATTGGCTAGAGGAGAACTGTCCAGGAGCTCAATTTATTTTCAATGGGGATGATGATGTATTTGTTAATACTTTCAATGCAATCACCTATTTACGTGGATTCGGACAGAATGGACCAGACAGTCACCTCTTTGTTGGGCAGCTGATAGCCAACGTTGGTCCCATACGGGAGTCTAATAGCAAATATTATGTCCCTGAGCAAGTTACCACCTCTAATTCTTATCCAATGTACTGTGGAGGTGGAGGGATTCTGATGTCCAGATTTACAGCTCGTGCCATATATAACCAGTCTATCCACATAGAACTTTTTCCTATTGATGATGTGTATCTGGGTATATGCTTAAAAAGGGCTGGTTTGGTACCAGCCTCTCACATGGGTATGAGAACTGTAGGTGTGCGCGTGCCATCAGACAAATTAGATGCATTTGACCCTTGCTATTATAGGGAACTTTTAATGGTACATCGATTTGTACCATATGAAATGCTGATTATGTGGAAAGCTATACAAGACCCTCATCTCAACTGTGGCCAGAGACGTGGAATATATATGGTTAAGTGAAAAATTTCTGGGAAAAGATAGTTCAAACTCCTCTTGTAAATTTATAAGCGTTCCCAAAACAGTATAAACTTATAACTTTTGAAACATTCCCAAAACGGTTTCTTTGTAAAATGTAATCAAAATATAGCTGCATTGTTTTTCTACATTATAAATTAAATGGTTTTTTTTTATTTTATTTTTTTTATTAACATTGTTTTCAGTACTAATAGCATTTAACCAAAATGTTTTCTTATGGCTGGTATTTCGATTTACAATTACAAATTGTCACATAACTATGAAAGGGACAGACCTTAACCCAAGGAAAACTATTCCTACCAACCGCAGTACCAGAACTCATAATACAGACAGGTATGAATGTGAGTGGCGCAGGTCCATCCAAAAAGTAACTCCTTAACCTAGCTTGCGTGCAAACCAGGTTGACAGCCGCTCTAGTCAGCCAGCTTTTCACTTGTTAAATTATTCTCAGGAAGTAACAGGTTTTAATGTTTTTTTGTTTTCTGGTTAAAAAAAATGGTTTTTGAAGGAACACTATAGTGTTTGGAATTCATATATGTATTCTTTACTCTATATTGCCTTACTTACCTTTTTTCATTTTTCACGCTGCGGCATCTCTATGGGGAGGGTTCAGCATCTCCATGCATAGCAGGGCTGAAATATGCAAGGGCCTCTAGTGGCCGCCTGAGTGAGCTGTTTTTACGCAACAATGCAAACACTGCCTTTACTCTGAAAAGGCAGAGTTTACACTGCAGGGACAGGCTCTAGACACCAGAACCACTACATTGAAAGGAATATATAGTGTTATGATTACAAATCTGTATTCTTAACATTGTAGTGCCCCTGTGCCACCCAATGGCCAATAAAGAGTTAAAGAACCATTATTTACTTACCCGATTCCAGTGCCGATCTCCCCCAGCTCTTGGTTGGTGCTCTGCCTTCTCCTAAATCATCCAAAAGGGATTTCACTGATGCTGGAAGTCTTAATGCAAAGAGGACGTTCAGCATCATTTAGGTGACCTAAAATCCAGTAAACTATCAGAAGCACCTCTAGTGGCTGTTTAACATTGCAGGACTAAGTGAGACCTGGACACTGCACCCAGACCACTTTAATGAGCTGAAGCGATCTGCCTATAGTGTCCCTTTAAACTGTAGTGGTTCTGGTGACTATAGTGTTTCTTTAGCATCCAAAGGTGCTAGTTGCTGGCCTCTCAATCAACATACATATTACCCTCTGGAAAAGGCAGTTTCCCTATTAATTCAGTGTTAAAAGCTGGTTTGTGGAGAAATATGAAATGACTTTTCCCTGAAAAGTTATTTTAGCCCCTTTTTGTGGTGGGTTACATGGGCATTTGTGCTGCCAAAAATTAAATTAAAAAAAGCAATAAATCATTAATGGAATTTAATGTATGTGCGCACAAACATATGTTGCAGCAGTTATAACAGTGTATTTTTTTTTAATCTGTTGTGTATACACTTAAAATTGTGTAGTAAAAATATCGAATCATAAGTGTCTCCACAAATTTTTCATGATTACTTTAAATTATTGTGTGTCTGTTTTTTATGTGGGTGAAACCTGGTCAGTTATTATACAATTATTATTTTTGAAGTGGCTGATTTGGGAGAAGATAATGGGATTAGTAACTTATTTTGTTTATTTATATATATATATTATTTTTACTTCCTAAAGTCAGTCTTCCCTGTTGTGCTTGAAATAATTTTATGAAAAAAAAAAAAAGCATTGTATTGCCCACTTTAGGAGGTGGGGAATCAGGGGAAATGCCTATAAATCTCTATAACTGATGTTTCACCATTTGCATCAGAGAACTAATAAAGAATCTTTGTATGTAAAGCTATATGTATTATTTATGGTCTAAATCCTTAATATATTTTATATTGCTCTTTAATATTGATTGCAAGTTTTCTGTTTTTGGAACGGGACGGGGGGACTCATGCGTGATAACATTTCAAATGACCAACAAGACTTCTTAAAGACATTTACTAATACACTCATAGTTTTTTGTTTAGAAAAACAGACAAACAAGAAAGCGAACGTATTCTATTAAAATAGTGTTTTGGTTTGAATGAAATTTACAATCCAAAAAAGATCACCTCAATGTTTAGGCAATAAACAGTTGAGTTTTTCAAGGAAAAGCTAAACTACATCTTATGATGAACACTCACAAAGATCACATTATAGTTCTATGTATGTAAATAAACAACATGTAATGGATTATACTAACAAAATGTAAAAAAACATGTATTAAACCTGCAAGAACAATGTTTTCTTTGCAGGGTTAACATGCCCCTAGTCATTGGCATCCCTGGATTTTTCAGCTTGTTCTGCTATTTTTCATGTGAGATTCAGAATACACTGCAATACCGGTGCAGTATATGGAGAGAGGCAGTGATAGGAAGCTACATCTTATCCCTGCTTCTCTCTCCTGACTGAATCTGAAGGGGAGCAGCACATGCAGCCAGCAACTCCCAGCCTGCAGAGGCAGCCTACAGATCAGGTAAGTGAGGGATGGGGGGGGAGCCGAAAGATCAGGCAAGTGAGGCATGAGGGTGCAGCATACAGGAAGGGACAGTAAGAGAAGGAACAGAAATGAGCAGGAAAGGACACCAAGGAGCACAAAAGGTAAAGTAGGAGAAGGAGCACAAAGGAACAGAAATGAGCAGGAAGGGGTAGCAAGAAGCTGTAAGAGGCAGCAAGGAGCATGAAGGGTCAGCAAGGAGCTGGAAGGTAAAGCAGCACAAAGGTAAAGTAGAAGGAGCAGGAAGGGAAGGAGCACAAAGGTAAAGTAGGAGAAGGAAGGGACATCAAGGAGAAGAAAGTGTCAGCAATGAGCTGGAAAGGGCAGAAGTAGCACAAACAAAGTAGGAAAAGGAGCAGAAATTAGCAGGAAGGGTCTGCAAGGAGAAGGAATGGTCTGCAAAGAGCAGAAAGGGACAGAAGGAGCACAATGGTAAAGTAGGAGAAGGAGCAGAAATGGTCTGCAAGACACACAAAGGGATCAAAAAGAGAAAAGAGCAAAAGGGCGCAAAATAAGCAAAGTTGCAGAAAGGTAAAGGAGCCAAGGAGAGAAGACAGTGTCAGAAGAAAAAGAAGACTGTGTCAAATGAAGGAGAAGAAAAGGAGATTGCAGCAGGAAGGACAAGTGAAATGAACCCTCCACTTTATTCTGGATAACACATCATAAGGCTTTGGTACCTAGGCCTGGCAGGGAAACTTTGGACCTTCTCATTTCCCCAGGTAAAAAAAAATATTAGTGTTAATGTGTTCACTTTTATTTACTGAGTGTCAGGAAGCACAGGGTGCTGCTAGCTGATTGGCTAGATCGGTCAGCTGGCACTTTAAGCCAATCAGTAGCTCACCATTCATAAAAAAGTAAAACATTGTTATGAACTGGGAACTAGCGATTGGCTTAGAGCATCAACTGACCACTCTAGCCAGTCTGCAGCACCAATGCCTGACATCAATCTGCACTTCCTGAAACTCTGTTTCAGAAGCCGAATACCACTGAGCGGCCTGGAGATGTGGAGCTGTAGGAAGCCTTTGAGGTTATACCATTTGAGAGCGGTTTAACCCCTTAAAGGAAAGAGAGAACCCAGGGGCTTTCTGGGATCATAGCATTTTCATTTAGATGAAGTTGTTATGGTGACCGGAATGTTCCTTTATTTTGCTTAAAGGAACACAATAGTGTCAGGACTACAAACATGTATTCCTGACACCATAGTTGTGGAAACGCTATTCACCCTGACTTTATGTGATAATGACTATGCCCCTTTCCTTTCATGACACTGTCAAAAAGGGATCAAGCATGGATGTCATTACAATTATGTTCCCCCCACCCCTGGAAAAATTTCTGCGGACGCCCATGCCCCTAGTGGCTGCCATACTGACTACTACTACAAGTGCTGTTGTGAAATAGCATATTAAAGCGCTGCTATTTCAATCGCATTGTCTCAGATAGACCATCTGTTGACCGGAGCGCAGAATTTTGGCCCACATGTGCATTATTCTCCCAATGCTTTCATTCGATCTCAATTATCTTAGGTAAAGAGGCAGAGCTTCACCGAGGAGACTTCATACATGAAGGACGTTCGCGAGTTCATTCTTGCTTGTAGGGTCTGTGCCTCCACGAAGTCATCCAAAGGTCGTCCTTTGGGCCTCCTTTTGCCATTGTCCATTCCCGATAAACCCTGGTCAAGTATTGCTATGGATTTTATAGTGGATCTACCTCCCTCCCGGAATCATAGGGTTATATTGACTATAATCGACAGATTCTCTAAGATGACTCATCTCATCCCACTAATCAAATTGCCCTCCTCTTCTGAACTGGCCTCTTTATTTATAAAAGAGGTAGTACGTTTACATGGCATACCTCAAGATATTACTTCTGACAGGGGTCCACCGTTCATTTCACGGTTCTGGAGGGCATTTTGTGACCAATTAGGTATTATCCTTAACCTTTCTTCTTCTTACCATCCCCAATCTAATGGGGTTACGGAAAGGATGAATCAATGCCTGGAACAATACATCCGCTGTTTCACTTCTGAGCACCAAGACGATTGGGTGGAACTGCTTCCATGGGCTGAATTCGCCCATAATAATCTGATGCACGAATCCACTCAACATAGTCCCTTTTTTATTAATTATGGGTTTAATCCTACAACTTTGCCTAGTTCTTTTTCATCTACAGAAGTGCCTAGTGTTGACAGCACTCTTCACAATATGAAAGAAACTTGGTTAGGGGTTAAACATATCTTAACTCAAAAGACTCAGATTCAAAAGAAGAATGCGGATAGACGACGCAGGGCTGCTCCTACGTTCGTAGCAGGTGACAGGGTTTGGTTAAGTACCCGCAACATAAAGTTAAAGGTACCCTCGATTAAATTCGCTCCCCGTTTTATAGGCCCGTTTCGAATACTCAAACGCATCAATCCGGTCTGTTATAGTTTGAGATTGCCAAATACCATGAAGATTCCTAACGCTTTTCATGTTTCCCTTCTCAAACCTTTCATTTGTAATCGTTACACTCAGAATATCTCCACTCCTCCTGCCACACCCGTGGAGGATCATGTTGAATACGAAGTTAAATCTATATTAGATTCCTGGATTTCTCGGGGTAAATTGCAATGTCTCCTTGATTGGAAAGGGTACGGTCCCGAAGAACGGTCATGGGTCGATGCATCTGATGTTCACGCCCCTCGTCTGATTCGTCTGTTTGAGAGGTGGCGCTCTTGTGGGTTTGGTTCCACCCGCCCTGTGGGCGGTTCTCGAGGGGGGGGTACTGTAAGGAGCGCTTACCTTTCCCCGCCGGTCCCGCGCTGCACCGGGTCCTCCTCCGATACTTCCGGGGGACTGCTCAGCTCTTCTGACGCCGGCCGCTCGGAACACGCCTACATTTATGATGCGGCGCATGCGCGCCAACGTCAGAAAGAAAATGCCGCCAAAATTCAAACGTGGCCACGCTCCCGGACTTTTTGGGGGCGTGGCTACAAAATTAAAGCCAAAGAACCCACACTATAAAAGGGCTATCATGACACTTGTCAGATGGCCTAGTGTGGTTCTTGTTTAAAGTCCCCTGGTGCTATCTTATCTGTTTGTCCTTCTTGGTAATTGACCCTTGGCTATCTCTCTGACTATTCTGTGTTCTGGTTTCCCGTTACTTGGCTTGGATAATCGTGTGCCTGTCTTCCGTATTCCCTTGACCTCTGGCTATTCCTTTGACTATTCTCTGACGCTAGTCCGGCCATTCTAAGGTCCGGTAACAGTCTTTCTGTGGGTTTCACGCTGTGTGAAGGGGTCACTGTTGTGACATTGGTCACTGTCGTGACAGTTACAGAGTCAAATATAGCATGTTACATTTTTCATTTTCTATTCTGGTAGCCCAGAAATGAGAATTACCCCCATAATGGCATACCATTTGCAATATTTTACAGAATAAATACAAGAAGCTGTAGTTGTTCTGGTGACTATAGTGTCCCTTTGATCTTGAAGTGAATGTGTGAAGACCCATACCAGATGCCACTCTACTTAGTTATGTATAAAAAAAAAATAGAAAAGTGCACAGCTGGAGATTTATAACACATTGCATGGTCTGATAACTCTCTATTTGAGATTACATGCAAGGTTACACATGTCACCAACAACATAAATACATAATCAAAATACTTCTGATATATCTTAAATATATCAGTTTATATATTCACTAAACTTGGGCTTGATGATGGAATTTCCAACCTTGGGCCAAATTAGTCATATTGGTGGAGGAAAAAAAATCAAACACTAATTTCCCTGCTTGATCTTAAGTTTACAATTTCCTGTTTAATTCAGTGAAATTCTGTCAATTTAATATTAAGCCTGTTGTTGAGAAAAAACAGGATCCTAGTCAGCGACAGGCATCCTTGATACAGAGGCAATTGTACAAGAACTGACCAAAGCAATATTTGGGATTTGAGCTACATGTCTGTTCAACCATAATTAACCTCTTCCATATTAAGTGCACCCAAACTTATTATATATTTTGTTCAGGAGAAATAGGACTTCCGTTTCACATCAGTTCTGCATGGCATTTTACATTGAATCTCAAAATACTGTTAGCTTTTACTGGAATTAAATACACATATTTGTATGCAGTGATCTCTCATATGTACAACAGCACCCCCCATGTACAGGCTTTATGGGGTTTTAGAAAGTTGCATGGCCAAATAAAGCCTTGCAAATTAAATATTCTGGACTTTCTTCCTGGGTTGTCAGGCAGGTCCCTTAATATATAATTAATCAAAAATAATGGAAAAAAATCACATAACTATGCACAGCTTGGAAAAAGGTACAGAGCACGCAAATCGCGGAGCTACATAGAAAGGCCGCCCAACTCGAGACGGATCACAAGGCCTCACTCTTGGAGACCACATACTGAGAATTACTGGAGACCCATAGGGAACTACAACAATTACTATCACAGAAACTGGCACACACACTCCGAAAGTCCAACTGACATTTCTACAAATACTCCAAGTGCAGCCGCACGTTGGTGAGGATGCTACAACAAAAACGAAGGAGTTGCCAAATCACCAACATCAAAACACATGGAGGCTCACTCAGATCCCTGACAAGATTGTAGGAGAATTCAAGGAGTTCTACTCTTAGCTCTACAACTTACCAGCCGAAGCAACGGCTTCCGTGCAGCGACAGAGACAAAGACTGACGCAGGAATACCTAGATCAAAAAGTGACCCGGACCATCACACAGGGACACAGGGAGGAGCTGATAGAGGAACTCTCGGCGGCCCTGAAAACCACACACCTACACAAAGCCCCCGGACCGGACGGCCTCTCCGCATGTTACATGAAAAACTTCGGCGATATCCTGTTGCCGGAGCTGCTGAGCAGCCTGAACTTACTACTGGACGACGGTCGATTCCGTGGAGACACTCTACTGGCCACCATCGCGGTAATACCTAAAGAAGGAAAAGATCCCACGTCGTGCTCTAGCTACCGACCTATCTCCCTACTTAACGCCGACCTCAAACTATTTACTAAGATTCTGGCACAACGCATCGGCCGACTGGTCCCTACCCTGATCAAACAGGATTCATCCATGGGAGAGAAGCGAAAGATAAGGGTGCTTAACATCATGCATCTCTTTCAAACCACCCAGATGGGAGGTCTTCTCCTCTCAACAGACGCCAAAAAGGCGTTTGACTGGGTGTACTGGCAATACCTACAAGCCACCTTACAGTCAATGGGATTCGGACCCCAGATCCTCAAATTGATCTCGGCACTATACACGGCCCCGAAGGCGCAACTACGCATAAACGGAGCCTTTTCCCCTGCATTCGACATCCAGAATGTTTGCCTTCTGTTTGCCATTTCTGGAGGCAGTCAGACGGGACGGGGGCATTGAGGGGATAACACACGGCGGAAGGGAACACAAGGTGGCTGCATATGCCGACGACCTGCTCTTCTTCATACGCAACCCAGCGGTCACACTGCCCAATCTCCTAGCTGCTTTCACCAAATACGGGACCATCTCCAATTTAAAACTCAATACTGACAAATCAGAGGCACTGCCTCTATCTCTCCCACAGGAGATGGTGGATAGGCTAACAGCGAACTTCCCCTTCAAATGGTGCTCAAACAGCATCAAGTACCTAGGAATCTGGCTGACAAAAGAACCCTCACGGCTCTATCAGGAAAATTTCCTCTCCATGTTTCAAACGTTACGCAAAGACCTCCTGAGGTGGGGACGCATGTATGTCACATGGTTCAGACGAATTAATGCAATGAAGATGAACCTGCTACCACACCTATTGTACCTGTTCCAAACCATCCCGATCACGATTCCACCGGCTTACTTTCGCACCTTGAGCTCCACACTATCTAGGTTCATCTGGTCGACCGCCCCCCCTGAGAATTAAACAAACACAACTAGCTCTTCCGAGACACAGAGGGGGAACAGGGCTACCATCCCTATAAGCATATTACCAAGCCACTCACCTCCTGCGGATCATAGACTGGCACATCCCCACAACAGATAAGCAATGGGTACTCATGGAAAGAACGCAAGCTGGCGGCCGATCCCACTGGTAATGTGGACTCAGAACCCGACATGGGACGGAGACCTAAGGACCCACCCTTACATCGGGGCGACGCTGGGGATTTGGACGAGGATCAGGTACAAACTGGGGCTCACAAGAAACCCGTCCCCCCTGACCCCGGTCATTCACAACCCAGAAATCTCAGGGGGCCTTACGTTGCAAGACATCAAGGGCCTCGGCGGGAGTGAGGATCAAAACCTCCGCGCATGGCTCACAACAATACACTACGACCGATAGAGGACATGCTGTCCCAGCTTAGGGCGACGGGCATCCTCAGATATCGATTCCATCAGGTGCTACGCTCCTATACAGCCCTACCGGGGAAGCAACTCCTACAAAGGGACCCCACACAGTACGAAACGCAACACCCGGCTGTGGGCGCCCTGGATCGTACACATGCCCGGGCGGACACCACCGGGACCTGGACGGATGGCCGAATGAGGAACTACGGGGCCCTGGTCGGCGGCGGCGCGAGATCCTCCCCTCCCATACTCTTCACTCGTCTCATCCCCCCCCAGCTCGACGACTACCTACCGAATGATGAAACAAGTGGACACTACCTCGGACAGATAACCACGCAAATGGACAGTTACCTGCCCACAGACAGCCACACCCAGCCACCCAGACCACAGCTTCACCATGCCCTTAGACACTGGCCCACATAACCCTTCTCAGACACCCACGGAAGCACAGAACACCTGGCCCCGTGACGCCAAACAACCAGACCCACACACACAAGCTCCACGAACACGAGACGTGCATACCCATGTTTATCCCAACTGAGAGGGGCGCACGGTGATTAAGGGGAAGGGAGACAACGGATGTGGACGAGAGGCCCGCAAGGACCCACACGACAAGAAGAGGGGGACATACGTAACTCACAAGACATGACTCCACCACAGCCCTTCGTACACTGACAGAGACACCAGGAATGCAGGTCCCGTAAAACCCTCACAAACTTGTAATACACACCCACCTGCTAACTGAAGATACAGTCCCCCGCCCTGCGAAGATTTGACTCAAGCTGGGAGGCTGAGGGGAATGTCATGCCCCAGCTACAAATAGGGAAGAGGGCCCCACCTCACACAGGGGTAATAAGCACCTGTCACTGGCAACAACGCTTTACTATCACTACCCTAACAAAGAAGAACAAACACAAAGGGAAGGTCGTGGCATAGAGGCAGGCCTAGCCTCCCATGCTCACATTATTCGGGTCGACTCAGAGGTACACCTTAGAGAGGGCCCAGACTACCAGGGACACTCCTGCTGGAACCGTGGGATGCAAAGGGCACTTCTACTACGACTGGACCATAAATCACTATAAGTATACTATTCTTGTTCAAACGATAAAATGTTAAAATAAAGAATGTCAAAAAAAATATCTGCGTATCCTGATTTGTATCCCCGGGTTTCAGGCTGGCTTTGCAGGCTGTGTTGGGATTGACGTGGTGAAGGTAGGATGTTAATCGGAGACTGGTTGTGTGTCAGGATTACAGAATGATCCAGCATGTAGAATTGTGTAACACAGAGGACTGATAGGTAACGTATACCAGACCTTAGAATGGCCGGACTAATGTACCAAAGAATAGTCAGGAATAGCCGAGGTCAAGGGAAACAGAAAGAGACACAACAATAAGGAAAAGCCATGAGTCAGGGATGCCAGAGAACATGGAAGTCAAAAACAATGCCAAAGTGCTCTCGGACAACCACAAGGGAAATCACGACAGGGCACTGAGCAGGATGAGAACTGGGCCTAAATACCCCTCCTCTAGATCTGATAGGCTGTAACCGGCCTTTGACCCCAAAGGCAGTTACCAGGTTCCCATTTGCATAATTGTTGCTCAGCATTAACCCTTCTGTGGATTTGGTTGCTGCTCGGCACAACTTTTCCTGTGTGGACAGTAATTGCCATTAACCATATTTTTATTAGCGGATGAATACGTGACATTACCCCCCACCTGAAGAACGCCCACCGGGCGGGCAGGACCAGGCTTGAGAAGAAATTTGGTGTGAAAATAGCAAATCTTGCGGCCAGCATGTATATCAGATGCCGGAACCCAAGAACGATCGGCTGGTCCATAACCTTTCCAATCCACCAAGTACTGTAAAGTGCCCCGAGAAAACCTAGAATCAATTATGGAGGAGACCTCATACTCTTCCTGTCCATAAACAACTAAGAGAGGAGGAGGGACACTTGAGACAGTATATTTATTGCAAACAAGAGGTTTGAGCAAGGACACATGAAAGGTATTAGGAATTTTCAAGGAGGCCAGAAGGGCCAGAGAGTACGCAACAGGATTGATCCTACGAAGGACGCGAAAAGGTCCAAGGAACCTAGGTGCAAATTTCATGCTAGGGACTTTGAGCCTGATGTTACGAGAAGATAACCAAACCCTCTCACCCCCTTAGTAAACAGGGTTGGCACCTTGACATGTATCAGCATAATGCTTGAAACGGTCAGCAGCAGTACCCAGAGCAGATTGAACTTTAACCCAGGTATCATGGATGGAAGCCAGACGGTCATCCAAAGCTGGAATAGCCATATCAGAAAAAACAGCCGGTAGGGCAGTAGGATGCCGGCCATTATTAACAAAAGATGGACTATGCCCAGAGGAGTCATGGTCAGCATTGTTCCTAGCAAACTCGGCCCATGGTAATAATTCGGACCAATTGTCTTGAGTGCTATTAACGAAACAACGCAAGTATAACTCCAAAGACTGTTTAGCCCTCTCAGCTGTACCATTAGTCTGGGGGTGGTAAGAGGATGAAAAAGACAATTCAATCCCCAATTGCTTATTGAAAGCCCTCCAAAACCGGGATACAAATTGAGAACCTCTATCAGATACAATATTGTGAGGAATGCCATGCAGATGGACAATCTCACATATAAAGATCAGGACCAGGTCTTAAGATGATGGTAATTTCTTAAGAGGGATGAAGTGAGCCATTTTAGAAAAACGGTCAACAACCATGAGAATAGTAGTATAACCATTAGAACTAGGAAGTTCTACAATGAAATCCATAGACAAGTGGGACCATGGGACCTCAGGAACGGAGTTTATGAGGTACTTTGGAAACTACATAAACAGAACAAGCCTGCGCATACTACTTAACATCCTTCCTGAGGGAATCCCACCAGAATGACCTCATGATAGCAGAAGTGGATTTAGTAATACCTGGGTGACCAGGAGACACATTGTCGTGAAACACTTTCATGATATTAACCCTTTCCCCCAATGAAACTAAAAATTTGTCCTGAGGTTTACCGCAGGGTGCCTGAGACTGAGCCTCCATGATGGAGCCAAACAACGGAGAGGACAATGAAAGGCTAGGACTTTACATAGGACACGAGGCCATGCGTTTAGACTGGAAGAAAAAAGATTTTGTCTAAGTCAAAGGAAAGGTTTTTTTACTGTAAGAACAATCAAGATGTGGAATTCTCTGCTTGAAAAAGTGGTTTTATCAGAGTCCATACAGATGTTCAAACAGCTACTAGATGCATACTTGCAAAAACAGAATATTCAAGGATATAGTCTTTCAATGTAGGGTAATAACTGCTTGATCCAAGGATAAATCTGACTGCCATTCTGGGTTCAATAAGGAATTTTTTTTCCTAGCTTGTTGCAAAATTGTGCTTCAAACTTTTTTTGCCTTCTTTTGGATCAACAGCAAAAAACAAATGTGAGGAAGGCTGAACTTGATAGGACGCAAGTCTCTTTTCAGCTATGTAACTATGAGAGTGGAAGCAATTATACATTCCGGGGGAATGATATGGGACTTTTCTTGCTCTTGTATAGACTCAGTATCAAATTGTCTGGATAAGGTGTCAGCCTTGACATTTTTAGAACTAGGTCTATAAGTAATAAGAAAAGGAAGAGAGACCACCTAGCTTGTTTAGAAGACAATCGTTGGGCATCTCCTATGTAAGCCAGGTTGTGATCAGTAATTATCAAAGGGGGGGTCCTTGGAACCCTCTTAAAGATGTCACCACTCCTTGAGAGCTAGACTAATGGCTCTCTATTGCCAATATCATAATTGTGCTCGGCAGGAAAAAACTTTCTAGAGAAGTAACCACAAGGATGCAATGGAGTATCCTGGCTCTCCCTCTGGGAGAGAACTGCCCCTACCCCTGTCTCTGATGCATCAACTTCCATTATGAAAGGTTTACTGGTGTCAGCGTGTATCAATATGTCGGCGGAGGCAAACCGCTGTTTGAGAGTTTCAAAGGCTTCTATAGCCTCCTTAGACCATATCGCACTGCTAACCCTCTTGCGTGTCATATTGGTGATGACATGCAAGAAACTGAAGAAAATCCCTTTATAAACCTTCTGTAATAATTGGCAAAACCAATGAACCTTTGAATGGCTTTCAACCCAGTGGGTAAAGGCCATTGTAGAACCGATTCCAGCTTTTCAGGATCCAGCTGAAACCCCAAAGCAGAGACATTATATCCCAAAAACTGTACTTCAGATTGGTCAAAGATGCATTTTTCTAATTTATAATAAAGTTGATTCTTTAGCAAGGTCTCCAGAACTTGTCTGAATGTCAGGAGAATAAATAAGGATATCATCCAGATAGACCAAGACAAACAAGTAAATGTAATCCCTGAGTACATGATTTATGAAATCTTGGAAAACCGCTGGAGCATTGCACAACCCGAATGGCATCACTATATTCATAGTGTCCACTTCTGGTATTAAATGCAGTCTTCCACTCGTGGTTTTCCTTGATTCTCACTAAATTGTAAGCACTTCTAAGATCAAGCTTAGTAAATACTTTAGCACCTTGGAGTCTATTAAATAATTCAGCAATAAGAGGAATGGGGTAGGTGTTCTTAATGGTGATTTTGTTCAATGCCCTGTAATCGATACATGGGCGCAACTCACCATCCTTTTTAGATACAAAAAAGAATCCTGCCCCAGCAGCGAGGATGATTTTCGTATGTGGCCTTTATTCAATGAATCCTTAATATATTCCTCCTTTACTCTACTTTCCTGAGGTGACAGAGCATAGACTGCTCCCTTAGGTGGCATAGCGCCGGGTAGTAAATTAATGGAACAGTCATAAGGTCTGTGAGGAGGTAGAGTATTCGACTGAGTTTTGCTGAATACTTCTTTAATGTCTTGGTACTGTATAGGGATTTCGGGGTTTTGAGGTGTACTAGTGGGTAATCCAATAGTGCCCACTCTTTTGGCAACATTCAATATACACCTTTCATAACAATCCTTACCCCATTCTAATATTTCCCCATTAGCCCAGTCAATATGAGGGTTACGATCGGACAGGAAGGGGATGCAATAACCTGAAATGTAATCTCTTCCTTATGTAAGGCACCAATGGACAAATTAATGGGTAAGGTTTCGTGTGTAATCAATGGTTGGGAGAGCTAGGGGTGATAGTCTCTCCTTGATAGGTATAACAAATTGAACGTCAATAAAGTTTCAGGTGGCACCTGAATCAATCAAGGCTTTGCATGAAAAGTTCTTCTTTTCAAAGGCAATAGAAAGATCAAGGAGAAACCTATTTTTATCCATTCCAGAGGACATTTC